TTTCAATGCGTGACAATAAGCCGTTCGTCATGTTGGGACACTATGTGCACACGGCGGACGATAAGAAAGCAAATAAGTTGTAAATCACTGCCCACGATAAATTTTTTCAAAGAAATCCGCAGCATTATCGAACATTCTACCCGTACGTTTGCATTTATTTTTGGAAAAACCGGGATATTATATCAATCCACGAATTTACGTTTCTGTATTGTGCGGGCACTAATCCATAATGCAACCAATTGCCGGCGATTAATCTCAATAATTTATTGCGGCTATCGGGAATATCGATCAATTCCCGGGGGGCGAATCCATCGATCAATCGTCAATTCTGTTTGGCGGATGGGGAAGGGGGTCAGTGCTCATAGCAGGAATTAACCGGACGTGATGCATGAATTTTACACTAATGGGTTCTTTAGCCAAGCAAATATTCAATTATCGACATTTTATCGAATTATTTTTTTCCCTTTTTTAAACTCAATATCAATATTCATGGTTTATGAATTGTTAAAAAAACTGATAATTCTGTGCAAAATGGAATTTTAGCGACGCTGAATATTCATGATTTTTTCTTTATTTTTCTCATTTATTATTTTAAAATAAATTGATCACATAACAGTGTAATTTATGTTTTGCTATGTAAAATTCATCCGAAAATAGATATTCAATTTTTTTCCCGCTCACTGCATTGGAGAAGACAAAAATACAATTGTTTCGTAATCTGAATTCAAAATAAATTTAAAGCATTTATCGAAGAATTTTTTCACTTCTTTCAAACCTCAATCTCAACAGTTATAAATAAAACTAAAAAACATGGGATCGTATAATAGTGTAATTTATGCTCTGCTTGGTGAAATTTCGCCGAAAATAGATATCAAATATGCAGAATTATGCAAAAATCCTCGCTTCCTGCATTGGAGAAAATAAAAATACAATCGTTTTGAAACCTAAACTCGAAAAAAAACTAAAACAAGCCATAAAAATGATGGCAAAGATGCTCCCCGGATAATATACGCTGTATTAATAGACGATTACGAAGGCAGAGAGAATTTTTAGCGAAAAATGTGTGTGAGCGTCCTTGTATCATTGATCATGCAATCTGGTCGAAAGAAATGGCGTTATACACAGTCCGGATGAGCGTTACAAAGACATTATCTGAGATGACTTAACTCATCGTGAGATGAATGGTCAATTTAATGTTAATGTAAGCCCCGCGATACAGACTCTTGAGACCAAGATCGATGAAGAGGCCGAAAACGCAAAGACAAAAAAAGGGAATTGCATGAAAGAGGAGATGAAATGTTCCGGCTTTCGATTCGATGCGTCATCGCTCCCCGCCATTCGCGCTTTCATGATTGATTACTCGAAGATCAGAGAGTAAAACAAAAAATAAATAAATAAATTATAATTGTTATGCCTCCAATTCCAGTTATGATAATAAAAGTTCATTAAGATATGACATTTGAACTGAAAAAAAATGAATCCAATAGCACCAACTTTATTGCAAATCGTCATGACGTTAATGGGTATATCTTTGATTCGAATGGTGTGGTAAAGTCATTAAGAACGTCGCAGAATATGAATTAAAAGTGATCGGTGTCGCTATTAATTAGGATAAATCTGCGAAATATTTCAACGGAAAAAGTGAAATGTTACTGCTGGATTAAGGAATCGATCCTTCCACCATTAGTTTTCGCGAAAAGTTCAAACGCCAGGAAAAAATGCTAAATGTCTCTTTAAATGGCCATGTCATGAATTTTAATTTTTCCTCGAAATACTCATCGAAATTAATTTATTCAAAGGAGTAGACGTTCATTCGATCGAATATCGACGCTACCGGTACAAAAGTACAATTTCCTCACTCAAATGAATGGGTGGAATTGAATTATTCCATAGCGTTAACATGAAAACTCTTCCCAGGAGTAATATCGTCTGAGTCTCAGGGTCGGAGGACAATTGCAGAACCGTTAAACATTTATTCACCTACAAACGCTCACCGGGTGCCTTTCACCAAGGGCACATGTGTTTTTAGGTATAAACCATGTAATGAGCCTTGGACCCAGACGCCCTCGGCAGTCGGTCAAGGTTGAATTTCAGCGAAGAAGCAACAAGTTTCCGTCTCGCCCTTCTCGCAGCGATCAATTTATCCCGAAATTTCGCTCCCTTTAATCTCCTCTACTGAATTTTCTTGTTAATTTTTTGTGAAAATGTCAGAAATAATGTCTGTAATCCCTGCTCGATCAAAACAAAAATTAATTAATTCCCCCCGACATCTTCAAGTATTTAATTAGCATTTCAATAGCACCTGCGTATTTTATTTATAACGCGTTATATTAGAAATGGACAGCTGTATGAAACGAAGAGCTTAACCTTTTCATGAAATGACGAGTGTACCGTTGGTCCTCGGATTTACGACGTGACGGACCTTGGCTAATGCCGAACAAAATAACTGAATGAATGATCTTCGATGTCTATCCATTGATGATATTAAAAATACGGGGGGGACAAAATTCAGGGTAATGTTATTCAGTGTACATTGGGGATCAATTAAACGCTTGCTGGGGGATAATACTCGGGCAGAAACCTGAGGGGGATGGGGTAATTCAAAATGTTGCGTGGGTGTCCATCATCCCACGCAATTTGTGGGTTATTTAGCGACGCATCGAGAGGAGCAATCGATATTCGCGAGCGCCGGAAGTTATCTCGTGATTCTGGGTCGAGCCGGTGACGTCATTACGAGCGCAAAGCTGGAGAATTTTATTGGAATTAAGGATATCCAAGTAGCTTTTACAGTTTGGTAGATATTATACTGTAGATTTAACGGTTTTCAATCATTAAATTTGTTAATTAAATTGCGGGAGAAAAATTTAACAGAAATCATGAATATTCAGCGGCTGTCAAATAACATTTTGCACTGAATTATTATTTTTTTACCGATTTTGAACTAATTAGTTGTAACGATTATTTGTTATGATCCTGAACTAATGATTTTTGTGATAGAAAATTGATTGTTCATCAATTATTTATGGAAAATGCTCGTAATTTACAAGAATGGCAATTTTCAAATTATTTCGCCTTTCCTCTACAGTAAACTTTTTTTCAGATTTTTAAAATGTTTTCTAACGGTTCAATATCGAGATTCCATTCAGATCTGCAAAATTTATATAATAAAATCATTGTAAAACGAAAGCTTTGCTACAAAAGTAATCGAACATCAGGATTTCATTAGAGAAAAAATACCCAAAAATATTTGGATATCCTTAATTTATATCTTTATCCAAATGAATAGCTCGAATAAAGAAAATCTGAAAGATAATTGTGTTTGGTTTTTTAACATTTCAACCCGGAATTAATTAAAACCTGTCCCGTGAATTCTGGAGGGGCTGATAAATCTCAATTGTGCTTGAAATTCCATTTATTCGGGTTGGATGAAGCATCCGTTGGAATTGAAATCGAAAATACACTTTGCATTTCCTGACAGACCATTTGAATTTCAAATTTCGTAGAGGTTGGAAAAAGTGAATGTGGAGCTTGAATTTCCTCTCAATTTTCCAATCACTGTTTCGCGCGAGGATTCTGCAGGGAAAATTACGAGAGATTCAACCCTTCATATTAATTCAACTCCCACCAATGGAATCGGTATAGCTTAATATATTCCCTCCCGCCTCACACAGATGCCCGATTGCGATATATCATAAATAGGTGGTAATCTTGAACAAACAATCTCGGTGTAACCCAGTGAACAGACACTTGAAAACCGGACTTTATCTCCGATAACGTGAAATCAGGGTTTACCAGAAAAAAATGAGTAGAAAAAAAATGTTGTCGATATGTCATATCCGAGCATAACTATATTTCAGTCACGTCAATTGACTTTTACAAAGTTTTCAACTGGTAAGTTAACACATTCCTTAGGTGTACGCCTATTGGCCAACACTTGGGTGATTAACAGTTGCTCGTGTCATATACTTGTTATGCTAATTAAATAAATATCAAAATTTCAATTTTTTCAATTCTTCATTTTTTTTTTCATTGTCACAATGAAATATCGCGGAATATTCGACAGCGAAAAATCTAATTTAGGGCGTTTTTGAGGGCTTAAGCTTCGTTTTATCATTTACCAATTGCTTCTCCGCGATTTAAACAAAAAAAAATGCAAGCATTTGTTTTGTGAATGAATGAAAGCGTCGAAGAACTCCTGAACAATAAGAGGAAATTCCCGTGTCCAAAGTACAACAGTAATTATGTAAAATCTTCATTTCCACGTGAAAAAAAAACAATTGATGACCTTAAGTCTTCCTCCATTTCCGCATATTGAATAAATTCTCCCGAGACAAATATTTTTTTAAACATTCGTTGTTTATAAATAAATAATTGAAATTGTGTAAAAACCTTAATTTTTTAAGCATGAAATCGAACAAATGATTTTAATTGTGGGGAAATGATTGTTTATAAATTATTTATAGAAAAAAATGCTTCTAATTTTTTCTCAGATTTTTAAAAATGTTTTCTAACAGTTCAATATCGAGATTCCGATCTACAAAATTTAAATAATAAAATCATCCTAAAATCTGGGAAAACTTGGCAAAAATTTGAAAAAAAAACATGAGTATTCTGTGCTACTCAATTTACATTTTCCACCGAATTATTAATTTTTTAACCATTTGTTGTTAATAAATTATGTATAAAAATTGCAATTTTTCAATTATTTCATCCACCTCCCTCCAAAACTAAACTTTCCAATTTTTTTGCAATTTTAAAGTGTTTTCTAACGATTCAAAATTAAAATAATGAAATCATTGCAAAACGTCCGGAAGCTTATGGTCAAATGGGCAAAATGAGGGCATTTCACCGGTGCAAAAATATCAAAAGTACCTGGATACCCTCAACACCATCATTCCTCAACGTAATTCCCACCGGCGGTCCCCTCCCGCCGCTGCTGGCAAAAGCCAACGGTCGCGCGACGATTACATAATCAAAAAAGCACTAAATTCATCTCATACCTGCATCAATTGAAAGCCTCCAACGGACTCCACCTGTTTCCCTGGCTCCTCGACCTTGCTACCGGCCTCAATGACACTCAGCCCACAGTTTTCCTCGTTCCTCGCCTGTGACTTCACCTCGCCTGTTCCCGCCATTCTGCCGCAACTTCACTTTTCACAAAAACAACCTCTGAAAAATTGTTCCCAATTAACTGTCCCAACGAAGCCCCGAGTTTCGCTTCAACTCTCAATATTTTTCAGTGAAAACACGCAGAAGATATCGAATCGTCGTAAACCGGCGTTCGATCAACACTCGAGACACTTTAACACTGCCAACTGCCGGATGCTTTGTCCTTTATTCTATCGCGTCTCAGTCGCACACACCTCAGCGTCTTTATTCTCGTCAACCACAAGCGACTGTTACTGTTTTCTTTATTTTATTTTATTTACGAAATGAATACACATGGATAAATGCGAGCAAACACGGCGAGACGAGCCTAGCACAATGGTCCAATCCACACTGAGCGACAGGGGAAGGGGAGGGGGGCGAAGTGCGTCGACTGCCCGAGTTTCGTAAACTAGGTATTGTGTGCGTATTTGTACAATGCTCGTTGTCACCTTGGCGAGAAAGACGAACTGCCACCGGTAATTTCCCGTCTATTCTGAATTAAATCAACGTCTTGGACACGTGGGACAACAATAATTGTTATTTTTATTTGCTCTATTGCAGATAATGTGATGATGAGGCGGCGGGAATGAGAGACGCAGATGTGATGAGCTTGTGGTGAAAACGAACAAGCGAGTGAACTGATTGAAATGCTTGTGGCGAAGAAGAGGCCCACAGCCTCCGAGCCATAGAGGTTACGGAGATAAAGATAGAACTTGACACAATGGAGGAAGGGGAATTAAACCAGACGGTAAGTTTAATTTCATCGTTTTGCAGGGGGGGGGGGCATTTTAATCGAGCAATATCGAATTCAGTTGGCGAATTATCGGGTTTGTTTTGTTCCATTGTTGACAAAAACAATGGAAAGGGAGAAAAATCGGCGGTGGAATTTTTCGAAGCTAGGGTAAGCTACCCAGTAGATGGACACTGCCCTATAGATGGACGAGCTACTTTTGGATAGGAAATTACCCAAAAACAATACTGAAAAGTGAATTGTTGCTTTGAATTTTCACTAACTGTTGTGATTCTTAACCCCTAAGTGACGATTTTTTTTCGATCAATTTTTTTTTCAATTGCTAAAAAACAAACGTCCATCTACTGGGCAGTTTACCCTAGTTTGCGATTGACTCATGCCAAAATACAGACCCTGGGATCTTCCCGGTGATTTGGTTCTATACATTTTTTATTGTTCGAGATTTATTTATTTGATTTATTTCTCGCAAGGATTTATTTCTTACGATCATTGAGTTTGGATAATTAGTCTACTATTGCTTCCGAATGGAAGTTTTGTAATCGTTCAGATTTAAGTTTTGGGTTTTTTTTGTTACATCGACCCAGTATGATCCAAAAAAACGAACATGCAATTTTTAGAGCTTGTCCGTACGTGTGAATGGAATCTTTTTTTTCAAATATAGATTGTCATTAATTACAATTTGAATCATCGATTAATTTTTTGAATTTTTGAATTTTTTCGAAAATTGGTTGTCCCTCGATAACTAGAGAAATGTTCTGAATTGACTGAATGATGGCTTAAACAAATTGTTTAGATGTTCTGTTGACTGAGTTCGAAGATGAAGGCGATAGGAATAATCGTTATTTTAATTTATTTGAAAATTTGCAAAAAATTTGGGTTTTTTGAAAATCATAATTTCGGGGATATCTTTGGATATCATGCTTCAAATGAATTCAATCATAGCTTAAAATGTTTGTTTTAGTGTCATTAAGTCGAAGATGATGACAATGATTGTTGAAAATTTCGAATTTTCTTCAAATGTGATGTTTCAAAGTCATTCAAGAACATGTAAATAAAATTTTTCTTTTAATATTTTATCGAAGGGCTGAGGGGAGAGATAAAACCGTAAAAAAGACAATTGTTTGTATAGAAGAAAGGGATAGTAAGAATAATGATGACGATACCATTCAACTAAGTTGAAAATCTGATAAAATTAATTGAAAAGAAATCTCATTTAATTTAATAAAATGAAATAAACAATGACTTCTACATGATCGAAGGAAATGATGTGCAAAATAACCATTCGGAAGCATAGTACTAATTTATTAGCAGAAATAACTATACTATATGCAATACAAGAGCAATTTTCAACTTGTTTTTGTTCAATTTGAAGATAAAACGAATAACGAAATTTATCCGCGCGTCACGTTTCGGGTTTATGCGCCAGGCGTCCTGTTAAATTACCCTCATCTTTCATATTACAAACTCTTGGGTTAACTAAGTTTGGGTTTATACACCGAACTTGTTAATACCGCGCGTTAATAATTCATCGAGTGTGGATTTCCGTTGGAGATTACCTATAAAGAATTTTTTTACATTGATTCATACTCCGAGGGAATATATTCCAATGGATATCACCACACTGGAGTTAATTATACAGTCAACTGATTGAAAATGTTGAAGTATTGCAAGGGAAATCAAATTCTAGACGTCAAGTAAAAAAGTAAAATAATTGATACTCTAAATTTCCAATTGATGATGAATTAAATCGTTTATAATATGGAACTCCAAATTTTTTGTCAAGTCAATAATACTAAATTTCTTATAAGGCACTTTCGATTGTCCAAATTACTGATTAGTAAATAATTCGGAATTCTAATATTTAAATTGATAACTACTTCAATAACTGAAATTTAAGAGTGATATTGACGAATTGACTACTTAATAATTTAACTGTAATTATAATTTATGGAAGTGGGTATCCCTGGACTGGAGGAAAAATTTGTGTCGAATTTCCCCCCAGAAGCAGCCATCACTGATGGATGAATTTTATACGAACATCATTTGGCATTCGTCGAGTGCAAATCTATTCTAGGGATGGTTATTTTCGACAACGTCACACCATCGTGGCGCTTCGGATTCTGAAGTCCGAGGGCGAGGAGTACATTTAGAATGGCACTTATTGTCCCTTGAAGTGGGGACTACAGTGGCAGACACAAAATCGTGCCTTAATTGTTCCTATGTCCGTCAATTTATTCATAATGTGGGTGGGGTCGGATATAAATAGCCGTGTAAATGAATTTTCTATAAATGGAAATTGTACCAGGAACTGTTGATGATGTGCTCGACTGTCTGAAGAGACGTGCAGAGATGATTCATTTCAATCAAGTTAATTCTCACTGTCGATTCTTGGCTTCAAAATTACAAAATTACTCTTGAAATTGCAAGTGAAAAAGCTTGAAATTTTTAACAATGACAGTTTCATGAAATTTCTGGATATTTCTTCATTAATAAATCAATTTATCTCTCGAATATTCAAGTAACTTTCAGTTCGGGCAACAATTTTTCTGAATTCTCAATCTATTGAAAATTCAATTGTATCTAATGTTTAATTTTCACAATGAATTTGGAAATTCAAACTTTCATTGAAATATCCATGATCGTATGACACAAAAAATTTTCAAGAGAGATGAGAAATTTTATGAAGACTTTCATTTGAAATTGAATTCAAACTCACAAAAAATTTCTAACAGCAATGACCAATGCTCCGGGCATCAATCAAAAATAAATGTTAAAAGCAACATGTGGTCCCATACATCACGATTCAAAGAGAACTGCACAGTTGACTAAACAAAACATCATCAGTTACAAATTTCAGGGCTTGATGATGTTCATAGCTCAATGATAAATTCATCAATTTACCTCAGTCCGGATTCATTGCTCGCCACGAAAAATAAATCATTCCATTGAACAACCTAATTTAATCTGCAAAGACTCTAAGCCATTACAACTCCTCTTCAATAATTTTTTTGTCTTCACAGTGACATCTGATATCAGATATCTTAATTCGTTGCTCAGTTTGTTTTCCACCAAATATTGACACACGTGCTGGAGACCACGTACGTGCCATTGTTCGTGTCAATGTCTCATTAAACAAAAAATAATTCATTCTTTTATTGTCAAGTTCAAGGTCTATTATTCAATCCGGTCACTAATAATCGATTATCAAAAATTACGCGGTGCTAAAAGTACGTTTACCTCAGAAAAATATATAAAAACGCGGTAAATACCACATCAGTTATTTAATGATCCTCGATTACCGTGGGATGAGTGAGGAAAAAGGAACGTTTAATGAATATGAAATTGTGCATTTGATTGATCGATCAGGTATGATGAATTATACCGATATAAATTACAACAAATCGTCTGAATAATTATAATCGAGGGACATTTGAGCGATCATCAAGTGGTCTTTCTGGAGGAATGACAGGGGTCAAATGCAAATACTTATACTTCTGAATGATTGGTTTCAACACACATTGCTGAGCAAACCTGTTGACTCAAAAAATTGCAAGAGATTCCACAATTATCTTCATTTTATGGTACTTTGATTGTTATGACTCGCGTCACAGCGACAGGGGAATAACCCCAGGCCCAAGGTCTTGCATAAACAACTGATTATATATCTGCCCAGTAGCCCGGGTTATACTCCAATTTCCTCATTGCAACTTCAATAAATTGATCTTTCGATATATCTCCAAATATCAGATTATGCTTTTCAAGAAAAAAAAATCCATTTAACCAGAAATTTAACAATTCAATGAGATTGAAAAACCAGTGACAAGCGTTCGTTTTTCTTCACTCGCTCATGTGAAAAAAACTGTAGCATTTGGACTTCGATTTATCAACTGGACTCATCGCAATTGAAATTTTTCCAACAGGTCTGGTTTTGCTTTATTAATTCAAACATTTACATCCAAATTGAAGAATAAAAGAATCTCGTTTCAAGAACTTCCTTTTCTCCACACATGATAAAACTAATTGATCATAAAATTGTGAACCAGTTCGTGACGTCAATGCCCCGCTGATCGTCCCCAGGACTAGAGCAATTATGTTTTGTTATTCGATTTAGTTCTCGTTACTTTCTTGTTTTGCATTGAGGGTCTTGTTCGTACGGCCATGTACGCACTCTATCCCACGGATGTTGGTTGTCACTTCATCCAGATTAAGGGATGTGCGTGTGTGTGCACCATTGGAGCTAAAGGACTTGAACACATTGCCATTGAGATACAATCAGTGGTACTTTATCAAGCCCGTGGAATCCTTTCCGCTGTGGCTAACGCTCAAGGCCCGTGCGTCTTTGAAATTTTCCAGGAAAAACGATAAGTGTGTGCGCATATGTTATAGCACTTAGACAAGTACATGAGGATTATTTGAGCTGTTAAGATTGAGGAAATTCTCGAAAATCATTTGCCGTTCAAATAGGCGGATTATGCAGACTAAATTGCACCTTGGAATCATCACAGCAATGATGGTTCCCACCTAGACTTGACCCAGAGTTGCCTCGAGTTTGACAATGTTATAATTCCTCTCACCACCTTCTATTTATTTAACAACATTTACAACTTGTTCAATAATCAAATTTACAATTCTGGGTTCAAGTCTGTGTCCAGAGTTCGTCCGGCATTCGGCACCTAACCTCAACTCTAGGTTTACGAATGTGACTCTGGGTGTAAACCATTAGGAGAAAAAATAATATTCATAATTTTTATGAACTTTCTGAAAAACATCGGGCAATGGAAAATTTACATGCCCAACCAGTCGTCAGTTCGTCTGCTCGAGACGCTCGGCCTTTGCGCTAAAATCGGTTTCATAAAGCGATCGGGAAAGAAATAAAAGAAGCCAAGAAGAAGAAATGAACACAAAGGAGTAAACTTGTCGACCTTCGATATAGTCTAAGCCACGGGGTTGCAGTGACTGCCGACTGCCACTCTAAACCCAAGAAATCTCTCGGTCCATCTCTCTCCGTGTTGGTGGCAAGTGTTCTGCGCTTTTTGCACGGGTATTGGCACGCTTATCCGTATCCCTGATACACGTTTATCCACTTCGTGTCTCCATGTGCACCAATGCTGCCAACTTTCACGTATCATAATATGAAGTTGAAGAATGTTGTTTCCCTTCCAAATTACAAAATACACCCGGGAGCACGATATGTCTCACTTCGTGAAGTGAAAAAATGTGAAAAAAAATTGCGGGTAAACGAAAGCCTCAATGAAGTTGTCAATAATGTCTGGGGATGGAAGAAATTTTTTTTCAACGAAACCAGGAAAAGCATTTATTTTATGGCCCTCAAGTTGAGCTAAGTTATTATCATAGATGATTAATATTTATTTATGGTCCATACTTTTCTTGAAGGATCGTTTTCACTATTAAAAAAAGAATGGCATGTTTTTTGTCAACAATTTTTAAAACGATTCACTTTTGGACGTAATTGGAATTTTAATGGGATATGGAGAAGGACTTGAAAATTTTTATGATATTATACATATAATATGCTTATATTTCATATATATAATATAATAATATAATTATTTAAAAGAATATTGATAAAAAATGAAAGTATATGTACAGTCGAGCACTAAAGTTCGTGAACAACCCGAACTTGTATCTTATGTATTCTGTTCACGAACTTTAGTGTTCGACTGTACATATAAAATATTTTTCTATATATATTTTTTTATTATAATATTATTATAATATTAAATACATATATATATATATACATATATTTATGAAATTATTAGAAAATTTTTATACAAAAAAATAAAAAGGTATTCAAGTTTAAGATGGAAATATTCCTAAGCATAGGCATGGCGGAATAGATTGCTGACAAAAAACGTTACATTTTTTTTAAAAAGAGGATTCAAGTCTGTTTACGGACGCCAGTACGTGTATTTATGTATCTCCAGATATGACGATAACCAAGATAAAGTCGAATGGATACTCACCTCTTGCTATAATCTCTCCCAGGTCTCTGTGCCATTGTATTGTCGTTCATTTCCAATGATAAATACCATCCTGAAATATTGTATTTATATAACAGCTATATTGACGCACGAGAGACTCTCCTTTCATTTTCATTTCATCTCTTTTATTTGTTCTTGTTTTTTTTGTCCGTCGTTACATCTTCCTTTCACTCACCTTTCTCCCGGGCTGGAGAGGAGGACAAAGAAAGACGTGTTATCAGTTACCGTTGAAAGTCGATCGCCGGCAGAATCAGTGGCATCATCCGGTAGGGTCATTTTGGATGAGAGAAGGTGGGATAATTCATGTGGAAGTGGCCTCCGATCGAATCGGGCCAGGGTCAGAGGTATAGGTGGCTTACACCCATAACTCTATACTTATTTCGACCCGTTTCGCGGAATCTCGTCCGTCGTTGGATTTTTTTTGCTCTTGTGAATGCAATTTATGTCACTGATTTTCAGTGATACATCTCTAATTTTTATGAATTCATCGCCAAATTCCAGTGATAGAAATCACTTATTCTGATCAGTGTCCCGTATCACTAATTCACTGTTAGAAAATTACTTAATTAATTGGATTTTCACTTGAATTGTCTACCAATCACTCGTTCACGCGAATTTTTCATGTATTTTGTTATTTAAAAATCAGTTGAATTTCGATCTGTTGAATGAATGATTAAATTAAATTTTTTTATCGCCGTGGCTATTGGCACTACCACACGCAGAAATTCATTTAAGGCCCGAATGCAAGAGCGGGTTTCGAAATATAGTGCAGATGATTCTAAGGATGATTGGTTGACACGTTGCGTATTGTACTACTGGCCGACCCTTATATGAATTTCTGCGTGTGAATTTCTACAATCGATAATAACAGAAGTCACCGTCCAATTGCTCCTCATCATTTCTTTCTTTGCGCCAATGCCCGTATCAGTTTTATTTTATTCGTCTGGATAATTAAGAGAAATTAATGAAAATAATAACGAACGAAACGATCGGTTGCTTTGAGAGATCTTGCGGTATTGATAAATCACGCGCGTAGATAAAATTACCCACAGGAGTAATTCACTGTTAGAAAATTACTTAATTAATTAGATTTTCACTTGAAATTTTTAACAATCACTCAACACGAAATTTTCATGTGTTTTGTTATTGAAAAATCAGTTGAATTTCAATCCGTTGAATGAATGATTAAATTAAATTTTTTTATTCTTCAAATTCAACAAGATCATTCGATAATAACAGGAGTCACCGTCCAATTGCTCCTCATCATTTCTTTCTTTGCGTCAATGCCCGTATCATTTTTATTTTATTCGACTGGATAATTATGAAAAATTAATGAAAATAATAACGAACGAAACGATCTGCTCTGAGAGATCCTGCGGTATTGATAAATCACGCGCGTAAATAAAATTACCCACAGGAGTAATTCACTGTTAGAAAATTACTTAATTAATTAGATTTTCACTTGAAATTTTTAACAATCACTCATTAACATGAAATTTTCATGTATTTTGTTATTGAAAAATCAGTTGAATTTCAATCTGTTGAATGAATGATTAAATTAAATTTTTTTATTCTTCAAATTCAATAAGATCATTCAATAATAACAGAAGTCACCGTCAAATTGCTCCTCAGAATTTCTCTCTTTGCGCCAATTTCTGAGTTATTTTTAATTTATTCACCTGGATAATTAAGAAAAATTAATGAAAATAATAACGAACGAAACGATCTGTTGCTCTGAGAGATCCTGCGGTATTGATAAATCACGCGCGTAGATAAAATTACCCACAGGAGCCTGGACCGGACCTGCAAGTCGGTTGCCATGCGCCTCAACGTTGAAATAATGTTCTTGCTAGGTGATACCGGTTGCGAGCACGTGAATAAAACGTGACACATGTAACTGTATTAATAGGTTCAAAGGTAGAGAATAAAAAAAATAACAGCGACCCAATGTAACTCTAGTATTTTAGGATCCTCTTGATGGCGTCGAAGCAGCGCCACTTGTCTGGCAAATAGAAAGGCTCGAAAATGTAAGGAAAGGGTGTGTCCCACCCGGTGACCCTCTGAATCGGCGCCTCGAGATGTAGAAAGCATTCCTCCTGGAATAATTTGAAATTGATTGAATTCCCGTATACTGGTAACACGTATCAATAATGCAAATAAATTTTTTTTTCCTCAACAAATTACGGTGCAAGACAAAGATACCGCTTGCTTATCTCGGTAATCGGATGAAAGGAGATCGGATGAAAGAAATCGGATAAGGAAAAGGTGCGTGATCCTTGCATGTCCTTGATAAGAGAAACGATCGAATCGAATAACGTTACGATATATGCACGTATCACGAAACGCGCGCGCCTATCGTGTGATGGTGAATGGTGAGATATAGAATCGGTGAATTTTCAATCAACCGGGAGAATGCCATTGTAGCTATTTATGTGGCTACAGTACCTGAACAGTAGCTGCAATTTCACCACCAAATCCGTTTGTCAAAGGGGCCTCGTGAGCTATTACCAGTCTTCCAGTTTTCTTGACAGACTGCAAACAAAATATCAATAATTTCACGCTTGCCATTTAAATTTCATAAATTATCTCAATGATTTCCAAAAAAGATTGAGAATTCCGAAAAGTTGTTCTCTGAATTGTCAAAAATTTCATGTAACTTTGTCATTGTTAAAAATCTCAAGCATTTTCACTTGAAATTTCACGCGTAATTTTCTAACAGTGCAATGCTCAAAGGTCGATACTGTTGACTTGTCACGTTTTTCGTTTCCTCTAATCACATTTAGAATAAAAAATCGGTGATTTACTGGCTTCTGATAATAACACATTGTTGCCGTAATAATAAATCCATAATTTATGCGAGTGGCGTTAAGTGGCTCTCGTTGCAGAAAGTTGTTCCAACTACCATAACCCAAGCGTCATTCCCGGACATGTGCACTCGCTCACAAGTGCCTCCATACAGCAACACAATATTAAATTGCATATCTGTATGCATGCCAATCTGCAAAGAGTCAGTCGAATGTGCCACTCGTTTCCAACTCGTCTCGTCTTGTATTGCGATATAGACATGTGGCTCGCCCCCTCTTTTTCAATCGTCAAGCGTTAATGAGACAACATCCTCAATTAAGAAATCTCAATTGAAGTGACGATTCGGGCATGTCATCGACGCCTTTACCGCCGAGTCATTGAATCCTGCACTCAATTTCATGGCGATGAAAAATCTAAACCTCTAAATGTCGATGTCTTGAGAATATCAAATGCCCAGTGCGAAATCGTCCGTATCAGAGTTACGTGAAACGAGTTTCCAATTACGAAGTTATAACCACGTCAGTAACATTACCCACCAACAAGTACCGTTACCTCTGGTCTCAATAGTTTTACAGTTCACGGAGTATCATTAACTAGCAACATCGATTAGCGTAAATCAGTGATATTAGCAGTGATGAAAATATGTAGTGCACCATTGGTTCAATCACTTGACTCGTCGCTATCCCCTTATTAATTTTAAGCCACCTATCGTCCATTATTATCCCTTGTACTACTTTATTTATGATTTTGTGGTCAGCTAGATGTTGTGACGCAATGGCCAGTTGTTGATCACGATACGCCAGTTAATTTTCTCATTTTCCATGGGCGATAGATCGATTGGAAAATTGATTACCTTGCAGACGGCCTCGGTGTCCCAGGGGAGTATCGATACGAGGTCCACGACCTCGCAGCTTGCATTGAGTTTCTTCTCAACGATATCAGCAGTCTCCAACAAAACGTGAACCTGACTGCCCCAGCCAACCAGTGTCACCGAGGTCCCTGCACGCATGAAAAAATTCAATAGAACAGGATTTTTATTGTTTTAAAAAGTCAATCGATTTCGAATTTCTGTTTGAATTTTTCCCTCGAGATTTTTTCTATAAAAATGGGCATCAATTTTGTAAGGTTTCTCCACTCGGATTCTGTAATGCAAAAGAAAACGAAATGCAGCGGAAAAAACAAATTTTCCCCTAATAATTCAGTAGCGAAGTGGTAAACCGGTTTAAGTCGATCGTGACTATTGGCCAGTTTTCAGTGAATATCTCGGAATCTAAGGGAGATAGCTAAATTTTTGTCAAAACCTTTTTTGTAGCATTCGATTTTCTCTAGAAAAAAGGTTATTACGAAGATTTTGATATCTCCTTTAGATTCGGAGATATTCTTCAAAAACTCAACAAAGAGATGAGTCGACTTAAACTGTTTTACCACTTCGCTATTGAATTCTAGAATCAGCGCAAAAATAAATCGAATTTTTCGATAGAATTCCAACAGAATTTTCTAGCGAATTCCCTAGGTTTTCTATAAATTTTTTTCATACGTGTAGTGATGATAAATTGAGGAATTATTGTTCAATTAAATTCAAGATGTTTCGGTGAGAGATTTGATTTACCTTCTCTCAGGACTTCAGCCTTGCCAATTGGCGTTCTGAATTCACCAGTGGGTACGTCATCCACTGCACCACGATAAAGTGCCTTTGGTTCGAATATTATGCATGGATCCGGATCCTCGATACAACTCAACAGCAAGCCTTTCGCCTGAATTGGACCTCGAGGCACAACAATCTGCAAATCATTGGTTTTTACTTTCGACGGGGAATAAAAAAGATGGAAAAAAAGGGTCATATGAAAATTGCAAGTGGATGAAAGGATACGCTGGACGGAGTGAAAGGTTGGAGAATGGGAGGGAATGATGGGCGATTGATAACGAGTGGTTATTATTGTTCGCTGAATGATACAATCTGGTATTGAATGACAATGATGCCACGACCTTTAGGATCAATGGTAGCTCGTGTGTCAGCTGTTCATTAATTATTGCGAGTTGAATGGAACTCATTTGCGGGATGATGTGAGTGAACTTTAAATATCATGCAGATAGCGCGGAATTTGAATTGCTAAGCAGAAGTTTGCTGCCATCTGATGATGTCTGGTGTGACTGGATTGATTGAATGGTTCTTGTTACCGGTGGCAGAGGGCAGGAGCTCGTAAGCGAATTCTCCAAGGATAGGTTGCAATTTTACCTTCAGTCCTGGTGTGTGCGCGAAATAGGCCTCTGGACTCTGCGAGTGGTACAGCCCACCGTGTCCCACCGCCCCGCACGGGCTGCGAACTGTCAATTTTCCACAGTTAAATTGGCCGCCACTTCTGTATCTCATTTTCGCTGCCTCGTTAACCAACTGTTGATATAAACGTAAACTTCAGATATCGCGGTTGCACTGATTCAAATTGAGGGAAGATTCAGCAAATTAAAAATTGAAAATATTATTTTTCGCTTGAGTTTTCCTCAGGAGTCTGTAAAAATGAACTTAACAAAAATCCCCAACGTATTTTTTAGAATAGTTTTTTTTATATGATAACAAATTTACGCTCCTTAACTATCAAAAATGTTTGCAAATGTTTATTACATTTTGTATTAATATCTCAAGAAGAAAAAATCTTGCCCAATATCTCTCTATATTATAAAAAACCAAATCAACTTCTGGTGATGAAAATTTAGTACTCGAAATTAATACTTCAAAAGCATCACATGCGAAAGGTTCCGAGTTCAAATCCCGGCCGGGTAGAATGGTGCGATCTAACAATTTAAAGTCTTGATCATCATCGCAGTATACCCTAACCGGGTCGAAGCGATGTAAAATAACGATAAAAAAAAAATACTTCAAAATTACGGCTCAGAAATGGATTTTTTAAAGTCACTTTTCCGATTGAAAAAATGCGAATCTCTAATTTTTAGGGATTGACGACAAATTTGACCGAATTTGAATCGGATTACTAAAGAAAAATCGCACGGAAAATAGTATTTCAAATTTTTTTTTCTCCAAAAACGAATTTTTTTTTCCCGGAGTGAAATTCCCCTTAAAAACAAAAATTGTTTATTAAATTATCCGAGACATGAGAAAAATCTTCGCAGAGAAATTTTTCACACGGAAAAATACTCCATTGTTATTAAACTTGCCTGATCAAAAGCCGGAAATATGTAATCGGCAAATTGCATTTCCGCAATGGCTGTTACACCCTGATTGGCAAGACCAATTCCAAACCCGGCGATACCTTGTTCACATAATGGAGTATTGAATACCCGATCAGCTCCGAATTGATCTTTCAAGCCCATAGTGCACCGGAAGACTCCTCCGAAGGCTACATCCTCGCCAAAAATAACTGGTGAATAATTAAAACGAAGAAATCAGAGAAGAAAACAAAATAAATAAATCACGTATCGTATCATTTACATACGACATGTTTTATTGCATAATTTTTTTCAAATATAGAAGTCGGGTCGATAACATTGGACGCTCGACTGGATATCGGAAAAGTATCTAACCACGTTCGAACGTGAACTATAATTAAATAATTTATGATGACATGTTCATATTACATTTCGGAATATTCATTTCTCTATTATGCTGATCTAGATAGTATCATTATTTAGTGTATCAGCATTCCTCGACATGAATTTTCCAAATTTTTTTCACACTATTTTTCTTCGCTTTTTTGATTAAAAAAATCAGACAATAATATATTATTTCAGAAAATTGAAATATAGAATATTTTTCATTGAACATTTCTCTATTAAAAAAAACGCGCTCATCAGCTGCAGAATTTTTCAATGGAATCGGCCAAAAATTAATGCAAAATTCAACAAACATATTTTTCTATGATTTTTTTTGTGCTTGAAATAAAACGTAGGTTCATTGAAATTGAATAGCTCTCCAAGCTGAGTAAATACTACGGTATGTCGTCATCAGAGGAGATAAGATTGTAGTTCATTGCATCAACAAAGACGTTGCTCAGTCGATTTAATTTCTCTCATATAAAAAATTCGGAATAATAGAGAACAATCTATTATGAAAAATCTACCTGCCGTTGGATCTCGTGCCAATGCCAATTTTAGCCCGTCGTTTATCGCCTGGAACATGTTCAGTCTTTGGGTCTCTCCTAAAACAGATAATTTAATTGTGGTAACAATGCGATACATTTCGTTATCCGGTGAATTGAAGCGTGCATGCATTACCCGCTTTTTGGGATTTCTTATCCGGCACGAATGTGAAGTGCAAACTTCTCGAGGAAATTTCATTTTCACGTGTTACACTTTTCACTGGATTAGATAACAGTTTTGGCCGCGTGGGTCGACAGCCAGCGCACAACTTATTGAGAATCATGTTTGATAAATACTACTCGCGACGGAGAAACGACAACACAGTTTAGGTATATCTTACATAAGTCATTTACATAGATTGCCGTTGTCGAACGCTCGAATATTGAATGAGTCGACTTGTTCCAGAAATTCATCCAACTGCTGTTATTCGACCAATTTTTTTTCTTTTTTGCATTGATTAAAAATCGACAAAGAAAACCGATAGGGAAATAAATTCAGTACTGAATATTCAAGAATATATTTACCGGAATTGACAATTGTTATTGTTTTTTCCATAAAATTCTGTGGAACTAAAATGTGATGAAAATTTCCAAAACGTATTTCTGGAAATTTTTATCAAATTTTTTTAATTATGCAGAACTATGAGAAAAGAAACTATTGAAGTTTGAGTGAATGACCCCTAAAAATCATTTCATAATCATTAATTCAGTAGCGAAGTGGTCAAACGTTCAATGAATATCTCAAAATCTAAGGGAGATAACAAACATCTTCTCATAACATTTTTAGTAGCACTCAATTCGCTCTACAAAAAAGGTTATCATGAAAATTTTGATATCTCCTTTAAATTTGGAGATATTGTTCAAAAACTCAACGAAAGACTAAATTGACTTGAACCGTTTGACCACTTCGCTACTGAATTTTATTTCAATGAATCATCTCTGCACCTAAATGCACCTTCCATTACGAAGGGTGCCCCCTTATTGTACGCGAGCCCGCCACGTGTCTATCCCCACTGCTGTATTCGATTCAGTTTCCATGACGACAAACGTACGCGTTCATACAAACCCAGGTGAATGCCATACAGCAAAGCAAACGTCAGATGCAGCCAGTTGCTTCAATCAGTGGTGTCTAAATGACTGTTACCTGCCCCGAAAATCCGAAAAATGGTGCAAATCGATTGGGTTCGCATAAGGGCTGTCAAAGCCTCGTCATTGACAGACGACGAGATCGAGGATTTATTTCCAATGGTAATAAAGTGCGATACCGAGGAGGTAGATGATATCCTCGACTTGCGTGCTGTCATGAAATTATCGCAGGAGATATTGCAGTACAAGGATAATCAGGTAAGTAAATAATTCAATTATCGAATAATGCAATTACATTTTATTACACTAAATGGGAGGACTGAAGGACAGGGATAGGCAATAATATTAGATTTTGGCAATATTAAAAAGGATTATCTCGTTATATTGTTCAAAGTTTAACTATATTTACCAAATTTAAAATATTATAGAATTTATTAGCTAAATTTTTCGATTGATAGTGAATAAAGTATTTGATAATACTAAAATGTAATTTTTTTGTTACCAAGCTAATTCTAACTTTACGTACTTGATTTTCGATTATCCGGATAATTGTCAATCTTCCTATCTAAATTATTGGTTGGTAGAATATTTCGAAATTTAATTCAGTAGCGAAGTGGTAAAACGGTACAAGTTAATTTTGACTATTGGCCAGTTTTCCATGAATATCTCGAAATCTAAGGAAGATAGTAAAATTTTTGTTATAACCTTTTTTGTAGAGCCGATTGAGGGCTACAACAAATGTGATTACGAAAATTTCGCTATTTATCTCTGATTCGGAAATATTTTTCAAAAACACAACTGGGAGATAAGTCGACTCAAACCGTTTTACCACTTCGCTACTGAATTGTAAAAATTGATGATTACTTTAATATTTAAAATTTTTAAGATTTATGTTAAACATTGACAGCTTCCCAATTTAACTGTAATTATAATTGGTTGATATGCCTATCACTGCTGAAAGACGTGAACCCACGCAACGAATTGAACGAGCACAGAGTATTTTACAAACCGTTTCGGATCAATTTTCAACACGATTATCGCCGCTTGCAGGTGGAATCATTATTGTTAGAGTGCGACGAGCTCAAAGAGAAGCTGGCCACTGCATCGACATCATCGAAGAGCGTTCGGAGGCCTCAGGAGGCTGACGCCATTGAGGAAGCCAACAGTGACCAGAAAGCGCAGGATTCATCGTTAGCCGAATACTACGAAGAGACGCTGCACGCTAAGAACGATAAGCTAAAGACTCTGCTATTGGAACTAGAAGGAATCGAAAAAGAGAACATTGACTTGAAGCAAAAATTAGAAACGCTGAAAGAAGAGATGGAGGACGCCACTGAGAGCATGAATGAGATGACGGATGAGCTGGACGATTTGCGAAGTCAAAACGTCGCGTACAAGGATGAAGTGAAGCGTTTGAAGCAGGAGAAGAAGGCTCTGCTGACTCAGATCGAAGAAATAACGTCGCAACAGGTGGACAGAGACAAAATAATCGACGAGTTTGGGGCGGCGATTGACATTCGCGTGTCGGAGTGGAAAGACATTTTGGATAATAAAGACGCGATAATTACGCAGCTGAAGGAGCAAGTGTCGCATTCGCGTAGCTCAGCGGGAGGGAGGGAGCACCAGACGTCTCAGATTGTCTATCTGAATGAGGAAATTGAGAAAAGGGACACTGTCATCTCGGAGCTGGAGGCGAAGCTGCTGGAGGCGGCGAGGGAGTTGAACGAGAGTGCGGCTGTCATGGAGGAATTAAAGAGGAGTAATAAGAAACTGGAGAAGAGCGGGAAGCGCAAGGAGCACAGGGATTTGCTGAGGAAGGCGCAGGAGGCGCACGAGAAGATCTCGATGCTCCAGGAAGCGCTGAGAGGGGCTGAGGAGAATTTAATGCAGAAGAGCGAACAGCTGTGTGAATTGTTGGATACGCTGAGAAGATACGAGGACAAGGATCGTGGGCTCACCGAAGCTCTGGAGGAGATTAGGGACCTCAAGAGGCAGTTGGAGGCGAAGAATCAACACATCCAGGATCTCGTCACTGTGATTAATAAATTGGAGAACTTGAGTTCTCATCAGGAGATGCAAATTGCGGCCATGAGGTGCTCAATTCTCTTCTATCATTGCTCACGAAATAATCGCATTTCTCATTCACTTTTCTAATGTTTGCAGACAAAAATTGGGACTCCCTGATGACGAAGAGATATCGATTGAGGGTGTTACATTGAGACATCAGCAGGAAGTTGAAATTAAGAATCAATTGGTGCAAAAGAATTCGGCACTCGAGCAGGAAAATGTGGACCTCAAGGCGGACATACGGACTCTGAAGTACAGACTGAATAAATTAGGAGAGAAGATTATCATGTCGCGTGATGCGTCCGACTCTCGGAGAAAATCGTTACGCTCTGATCCGTCGACTAATGTCAATTGGGTGGCGGAACAGGAGATCGTAACTCTGAAGCATAAGGCGGAAATGGATGGGCTCCAGGAGAATATTCGAATGGTAGTGGAGGAGAATGAGGCTCTGAGGAAAGGACTCCACGAGATTCTGGATAGCATTCATGATCAAGATGGTGAATTTTCTTGATTTTGAGGGTACTGGTGTTATGCACAATTTCCTATTCTCATTCACAACTCTCACACTCATTTTTATATTCTTTTCCATATTTTGTGATCTAAAACACCACCACATCTATCATTTTCTCGGCTCATTCATTTTAAAATGAGTGTAAAAAATATTGATATTGATTTTGACGTTTTTTTAGGGAAAGGAACCGTTGATGTTCAATCTGACACTCTTGAACGCCTCCTCGAGGCGCTGGATGTGAGGCATCTGGCTGGGTGGTACCACCCAGCTATGCGACTCCAAGAACGTTTGAATGTCGTTCAGGGAAGCAATGCTGAATTGAGAACTCAGATAAAACACCTGAGAAAAGAAACTCAAAAAAAGGACGAATTACTTCGGAGAATAGCCACGAGGAGGGAAACCAAATCCGACAAATCCTCCTCCGAAGTATCTGAATCGGATAACGAAGACGTGAAGACAATAATGTCAGACATGCAGCGACTGCAGTCGGCCTATCGCGAAGAGCTCGAGCACTGGGAGCAGGAGCGAGAATCCCTCCGAAAAGAGAACGCCGAGCTCAAGGAAGCCAACGAAAAAATGACAGCACAGTTGGAGATATTTGAGGCAGATTTGAAGGCAATTGAATCTGGGGACGAGGAGATCCAGAAAGCTTTCGTTGCGAGGACCAGAGAATCTTCTCAATCTGCAGTGAATCTGATCATCATCAGCAGGAAGTGTTCTGCAGCGGAATCTCTCCTCAGTAAAGAGTCTGCGAAGCTGTTTCAGGTGAAGAAAGAAGCTGTCGCAGCTGAAAGCACTTACAGGAAAATCGTTGCCGACGTGGACAAGCGTTCCAAATTACTGGAGAACAAGATCAAGACTTTGGAGAGTAATCTTTCGAATTCTGTCAGTAAGGCAGAGTACAACGATCTCAAGGAGAAGTATGACGAAGTTAATATGCGTTTGAGAACATCGTATGAACTTCAATTGGGTGGGAACACTGACGAAGATTCCAAGGAGTCGACTGATCGGTCAGACTCAGCCATTCACTCCCCCGGATCTAAACCGAAAGAAGATAACATCAGGAATCTCCTGACGATCAATTCTGAACTGAGGGATCAACTTATCCACGTCCAGAACTCTTTATCCCAGTATTTGCAAGCTCCACCTGCCAAAGACGAAGAGAATAAAATCACGGAACTCCAGGGGGAAATTGGAGTTCTGAAAATCGAGAATGAGAATTTGTTGAGGACCCTAGCCATCTCTCGCGAAGAAGCCCAGATGCATTACACAGTAAATTCTCTGAAAACTCTAGAGCTAGATAATTTGAGACATCAGATACTGGATCTCCAGGCGATATCCGAGGACAAAGAGACAATCGCTCGATTGGGTTTTGAGCTGAACAACTCCAAAGCCATGGAAATCGAAATGAGCAAACGAAAAGCCCAACTAGAGTCAGAAATTTCTCAACTGCGGAGTGATCTGGAGGTCGCAATAGGCAAACGAGACGAGGCTAAGGCCAGACTTGAGGAGTTTCGTCGTCACTGCAGCAGCAAGTGCAAAGTGTACAACGAAATCATCAATTTTCTGCAGACCCAGTACTCCGGTAGCACCTCAATAACATCGTTACACAGATACGAAGATATGCTGCAGAAGTTGAATAAAATTCGCGAAGAAATATCGACAAAGTTCAAGGAAGCTAAGGACCAAAATGATGCTGTGAAAATTCATCAAGAAGCCCTGACCAAGCGCCTGGCCCTCGTCGATCAACTGAAAGACATCTTGGAGCAGCAAATCGGCACCCCCGAATTGCAATCTGTAATGCGCAATTTCTCTGAGCACTCGCAAAGTACTTTGAACGAGTACCGATACAAGAGACAAATAGCACAGCTAGAGACCGAACTCCAAATGACAATCTCAAAACTAGTTGAGTACGAATCAACGATCAGCGAAATGGAGTACGAAATAGTCAACATGCAGAAGGTATGGAAGCCAAAGTCCGAGGCTGCAGTCGAGAGTGTCTCTCCAGTCCACATTGCAGGGCCTCCGGCTGTCGAGAAGAAGTCAGTGTTCACAGAGGCAAGAGTGGAGAGTAATTCCGTGGAAACTCAGAGCGATCCGCTTGCCGAGCCCCAGGGAATCCCCCAGATTCCTAGAGCCCCAGAAGTGCAAACGATCGAGAGAATCATCTCGAGCCGACGAGAGAGCGCTGATGCCACCGACAACAGGGTCTCATTCCTCCAGGACCAGTTGAAGCAGGCATTAACACTAGCCTCGGATCGTTCGGCAAAGCTCATCGAGTATGAATCCCAGATCACGGAATACAAAGCTAAATTAGGAGCTCTAGACAAAGCACTGATCGACAAAGACTCGGAGATAGTTGAGAAGAACAAACTGATAAATCAGAAGTCCTCTGACAGCGGAGACGTCGAGGAAGCCAGCAAAGTAGCTCTGAAATCCACGATCAACAGTCTGCAGCAGATAATAACTCAAAAGGACGAGACCATCACGAGGTACCAGACTCTCCTGAAAGAGGACAGAGACGAGCACAGTAAGGCCGCCGCTCGTCTCCAGGAGGAGATAAAGGACCTCCGGACGGAAATATCATATTTGAAAGACGAGGGCGAGAAGAAAAGGGAGAAAAGCATCCACGAGGTGCCCGAGCGTGACAGTTACCGTCCGAAAATCCCTGAAGAAGCCAAAAAAGAGTCTCAACCTGACGTCGAAGTTGAAGAGAAGATTGCGAGGCTGGAGGAGCAGGTGTCGACGCTCGAGGCAGACCTTCACATTGTGAGAGAGTTGAGCGATCGTTGGAGACGACTCGCTGAGGAGAGACTCCAGCACATGGACGACGTCAGAGAGAGGCTGGAGGCTCAACATAAGAACGAGTTGGAGAGTTACCGAGCGGAATTGGACAAGTGGCAGAGCGAAACGAGCGCTCTGAGACAACAGTTGTCTGAGAATCGCATGAAACTAGCGAAGGGGAATATCTCGTTGTCGAAGGAACTGCAGGAGCGCGACGGGAAGATAGAAGAGCTGACGGTGGCGTATCAGCAGCTCCAGAATGATTTCGATGTGATGGAGCAGATGAATCAGTCGCAGCCGATGAGCGTTCACAGTTCTGCGGCGAATAAAATTCAAGAGGGATTGCAAGGGCGGGAGGCGTCCAATCATCTGCAGACGGAGTTGGAGCATCTTCGACGGCAGCACAAGTCTGTCATGGAAAAGGAGAGACTTTACAGGGATCAGATTGTGGATTTGAAGCAGCAGCTGAGCAGGAGGTACATGGCGGAGAAGAGTGAGGAGCGAAGGGCGTCTCAACGAGAATTGCAGCTGGAGAGGAAATTAAAGAGCATGGAGGAGGAGCTTAACAAAGCCAGGCTTCAACTGGATCATGAGTACAGGGCGCAGGAGGCGAAGCGCGTGAAAACGGCTGAGGAATTGTCCCTCTGGGAGAAGCAGAAGAAGTGGCAGCAGACGGCGGAGAGGCTGAAGAAGGAGTTGAAGGAGAAATCTGAGGAGTACAGAAAATTGACTTCAAGTTATGATAAGTTGAGGGCTGTTGTGTCCTGCATGGAGCGTGAAAAATGGTACCTGAGGAGCAAATTGAGGTCCGAGAGTGGAAACGGCGGATTCTCCGTCCGGTCGGATTTCAATTTTAAAGTTGTTGAAGATCTACAAATTGAGTGCCAAACATTGAGGGATAGAATTAATGAGTTGACGAATCGATTGGAGTCCGAGGACACTCATGAACTGCTGCTTCAAGTGGAGAAGCAGAAGCGAAGGATTGCAGCTTTAGAAGTTGTTGCTGAGGGGAATTCTCACACCGTTGATCAATTAGAAAAATTAGAAACTGCAAAAGCAACGCTGGAGAAGGCGAATATCCGATTGGAGAGCGAAAACTTTGAACTCCGGATGGGCCTCGAGAAGCTGCACGTCGACACTCCGCGTCTCCGCGAAAAAGTGGAGCATCTTGAGAAATATGTGGAACTGCTGAAGGTGGAAAAATCGTCGGACTCGTCGGACCGATCCTCCGAGAAGGAGCAGGAGCACGCTTCTAAGAAATCCGTCCTGGAGTTGGAGAAAACGATTTTCGTTCTCAAGCGAATCGTCGAGAAGCTGCAGGCTGAGAACAAGAGGTTGAGGGCCAACTCCAAGAATCATCATCGCTTAACGAAATTTAATTCATCGTCAGCAACGAAAGTTGGTGTCGGCGAAAACAATTCCACGCTGAAACGTCAGTATGAACAGGCGAAGAAACGCGTAGTTGCTCTTGAGACTGACTTGCAATTGGCAGAACAGAGGATTTTGATGCTGGAGAAGGCACGAAGTGACGAGGAAAATTGTGGGGAAATTGGCATTCTCAAACATCAACTCGCCCATAAATCGGAATTGTTGGATAAGGTCAAGCAGTTGTTGACTCGAGCCGCTGTTAACGAGAAAGCTCTCCGTCAAAAGGTGATTAAAATTCGGGAAAACAAACGCAAATGATTTTCCTGAAGATATTCAGAATTTGTATTTTTATTTCTTTCCAGATTCATCAGATCGAAATGAAGCAAACACTCGCTACAATACCAGAATGTCAGTCTTCACCGTCACGAAGCACTTGAAGCCGCCGAATTAAAATTAAAATACTTTGTAAATAATTATTTGTACAATTAAATAGTAGTTGTTGTCGAATGTCAGTATAATTAAATAAATGCTAGTCGGCTAGTGATTTATACATATTATTTTTGATTGTTATGTATTCATTTATTCATTAAAAGACGATTCGCTTTTATTAAGGTTCGATTTGAGAAAAAATCTTTAAAAATTTGCACGATGAAAAATCAAATGAATAAAAAAATAACTAAATAAATGAATGAACAGGCCCGCAAGCCGCTTAACATTTACTTAATTATTTGTACAATTGGTATGAGGTCGCTATTATCGAAAGAATCAAACGTTTATTAAATAGCGTGGACTATACAGTATAAATAAATAAATAATTATCAAACAAAACAGTGCAGTCATCGGAGACCACTCGTTCTCCCGCAAAAATAATCACGAAACAATGAATCAAAAATTGATCCCCATCAAATGCCCGCTTTTCAAGTTGAATTTAATGAAAATTCGCACCAGAATCGAAATATCCTCCCTAGTCCTCGTCCTCATCGACCCGATGAATAAATTGCTCGATAGTGTTGATGTCCTCGCAATCCGGAATAGATTTCCCCTTGAACTTGAGGCAGGATTCAGCGCAGCGCTGACCCTCGAAGTACTCGCCGAACATTCTCTTGCATTGTGCGCAGTTCCGTATGCATGTACCTATCATTGAGAATGAAAACGGATAAATAACGCATCTATCTTTCGATAAACAATTACGACAAAAGGCCAGAGTGTCACTTCCGTTCATATCGGAATGGATCTTTTACTGACCGACGCGGTCTTTCGTGGCGCCTGCCGATGTCGTCAAGTAGACGATCACGAGGACCGCGATCACCATCAGGGCAAGACGGTTGAAGCGTGCCATGACTTCCTAAATACATCAAATAATTAATTAACCCTAGCACACGTGTTCTTCTCGATCACTTTTATCTTAGAAATGTGTAATACTTGATTACTTTTCCTTTTCAATCGACTGTCCCTGTCCAGCCGGTCCTCTTGTATCAGTTACTATTTATTTTCCGGTTAAATTGACGGCAATTTACGCGAGACAGAGCGCCGGACTCTTCACAACTTCCGAGTACTATTCGAGGGTCTGACTCCGCGACGACTTATCTTCCTTCGCGGTATGGACCCACAGCTCCATGTATCGCAATATATAAAAGTCCGATGGCTTGTGGCAATTAATAATTCGTATATATCACTCGTGGTTGGAGAATTCCCCCCCGAAGGCTCCTGCCTCACACCTCGAGCAATGGACACCGATACTTTTTTACACCAACGTTTTATAACCGGAATCTTCATCACTTCCGCGTTACCAGTTCGCCATTGTAGAATTCAATAATTGACAGTCCATTGTCTCGTTTGAGCGTCCAGGAGAGGATGGGGAATTCAACGAGAGGCGATCTTACAGGGATTCTCGAAGTTTTCATTCGTTAGAACATGATGAATGCCGTTATTTGAATTTAATGAAGAGTGTCCAGTACTAGTCAAAATTTTTGAAATGTCATCGTCAAGATTGGCGTGATAGTATGAATTAAATAAAACTGTGACATTTGACGATTTTATTGAATTCTACATAATAATAATAATAATAATAATAATAATAATAAATGGTGATTATTATAAATTAATATTACTTTATTATTATTAATAATAAAGTCTGGACGACAGCGATCAATATAGTCTCGCTTATTATTTTATTATTATTACTATTAATTGTTAATGATAATAATAATAATAAATGGTTATTATTATTACTGTGGATAAGATTTTTTTCAGTGCAATGACCCCAAATTATAAAAAAAAGAGTAATACTTACTTAATTATGGAAATGATTTTTGTTCTAGGAACAGTGACGACTTGTTCCAACGATCGGAATGATGCTGAGGACATTCTCCCCAGCTTTTATATCCGAACGATCTCAACCCCAAAACAACCCCCTGTGAATTCACTCCAGTCAGAATGCCGCAGTGATAATTAGATTTCTTCAATTTCCAGCACTCCAAGGTAGGAAGTAACAGCGACTACTTTTTCAAGGAAATTTCGGGATTTTTTTTTCTTTCATCAACAACCGTTATCCGAATGTTTCTTTATTATTTCGGGCTATACACATTGGTTTATTATTCTACAGAAGAATTATACCGTCAGTTCTCGCGCGGATCATTCGCAACGGAATTTTTGTTTCCTTGGAATTGAATAAATTATCGATAACTTCCGGGTTTAAATTTAGTCGTGTCGAATACGGAAATAATGGTGACCCTTACGCCAGCCGTATTAATCAAAATGTTGACATTAACTCTAGATAAGGATTATAAACAACTTTGTATTGCACAACGGTGATTGGCTACCATGGAGTATTTATTAACTATTTATCACCAGTCAGGAAGAGACCTCGCGAGTCTTTGAATCCACAGCATCATCCGTTGCGAGCTCGGGAGTTTTTTTTTCAACTTTAGTCGAGGGGAAGCCGTACTCTAGGATCCAGTGTTTGTGATATTTTCCCTTTTTATCCTCCTCGTTCCCTTTTACTTTATCACTCTTGACTCTGTGCTGAGACAGTTTTGACAGGAATTTGCTCACACTCTGTCCATTAATCTTCTGTTCACCCCCTCCATCGATTTGAGGCTTACTAAATTTTTTAATGACATCAGTAGAATGATTCGCTTGAAAATCGTCAACAGCTGCGTAAGCAGGGCCGCTTTTGGACTCGTGCGACTCGAAATAATCCTTGATGTCATCATCGTCCTCATTTTCATGTTTACTCAACGATTCCTCACGTTTGGATCCCCGATGTTCATCACTTGACCCGGACTCACCGCTCCTGTCAGATCGACTGCGATCTTCTTCGGAATTATAAAAATCATCAAATTTCCTCGCATTAAAGTCGTCCTCACTTTCATCGCGGCTTTTCCTCGATGCTTTCACTCTCAACTCCTCACTTTTCCTCTCGTCCCGATGAAACAGCTCATCAATAAATTTATCGAGATCGAAAGGCTTGCTGTAGTCCTCAATATCGAATGAAACAGGCTCGTACTCAGCTGATCCTGTGATATTTTTAGCGTAAAAATTCGCCCCACTGGGCTCCTCACCTTTGTCTTCATGACTCGAATTTTTAATCGGTCGTTCCTCCTCCGACCTCACAACTACCTCGCTGTCCTTTCCAATCTTACCGTAAGCACTTCCTACTTGATACGTATCTGCCGAGTCATTGGTTATTTTTTTGCCGGCATTAAGATCCTCTCGGGTTCCATTACTTTCGCTCCCACCGAACGGTGAGGATCTTTCCCCTTCCGCGTTCGGCTGTGTACCAGGGTCAACAGCATCGTTGTCCAGATCACTGTCACTGGTGTATTTATCCTTGGAGAGGCGATCGCTGCCGTCCAGACTCTCCTCCCGCCTGTCAGTGTAATCCGGCACCTCGACGTATGGAATATTCGCGGGATTGTAAGGTGGTGTGTCAGGTGGATTGCCCTGTTCGGGGGAATTACTGACGACTGCCTGGTGATCTTGAAGGTTCACGTAAGTGCCATTCGGCTGTTTCGTCTCGAGAGTGATCCTGTGGGGATCCGCCTCCGGTATGACGATTCTCCCGAGAAATTTCTTCGGATTTAGCGGGAGATTCAGATCTGAGATTTCGCTCGGCAAAGTCTCGTTGCAGTTCTCGATGGTCTTCGTGTAGGGAATCGGTTTCGGGGCTGTTGGAAGTGGCAGGACTCTGATGGGCTCCTTGAGCCCAGGCGAAACTCGCCGGAATGATTCACTAGGGACCGCTATTTTTTCCAGAATTTTTTTGCTCTCGAAATTTGGGTTTGATTGATCCTCGACGCTCAAGCCCGGATGGCGATACAACACCTCCGGCTTCACCCCCACGAGTTCTAAATTTGAGTACCTCTTCTCTATTTTGGATTTGGTGGGAGGGTAATTGGGGACAGGATTGGTGGGATTATCTGTTGACCTTTTAAAGCGCGAGGGAATTTTCGGTCTGAGGTATTTCGGCTTGAACACCTCCGAAAACTTCCACGATGCCGTCACAGTGTTTTTGGAGGGCTCGGGGAAGAAGAGGCCCTGGTTCATCGATTTGAAAGGAGCGGAGGCCGATGAGACAGAGTCCTTCAGCTTCAACTGGGGTCTTCCACGCTTCACACTTGCCACGTAGAATTTTGTCCAGGATGTTGCCATTTTATTTCCCTGAAAATGCGGGATTAAAGGGTTCACGAGAATTTTATCCATTTCTCGTGGGATTATTGTGCGATTCCTCCGTCTACGTGACTTTACAAACCAAAATTACTGATGTGCAGTCGTTGCCCGCCACTCGATTGAAAACCGCCAGAGACAGGTTTTAAATTTATTAATGGCACTGTTGTGACAGAGACTTTATTTCTTCATGATTACTATGTACAAAAATTTGTGTATAAACAATGTTACGTTTCATTCTGTACAGTGACGTGTGATGAGGATCGAGGAATTATCTTTTGAATAAAAATTGAAGCGAATTCAGTAGCGAAGTGGTCAAACGGTTTAAGTCAATTTAATCCTTAGTTGAGTTTTCCAGAAATATTTCCGAATTTAAGGGAGATAGCGAAATTTTCATAATAACCTTTTTTGTAGAGCGAATTGAGTGCTACTAAAAAGGTTATGAGACAAATTTTGCCATCTCCTTTAGATTTCGAGATATTCATTGAAAACTGGCCAATAGCCAAAATCGACTTAAACCGTTTGACCACTTCGCTACTGAATTAATTCCGCAACTTGAGTAACATCTAAAATTGTACTCGAGTCATCGGCATGAAATTCCTCTCATTTTCTGGGGATTCTAGTGCTCGAAATTTCTCGTGCCACCGACATGGTGTATTTACATTACACTCTAAACATCCCTAAGTTCTAATGGAATACATTATGTACTAGAAGGTGCGTAACAACCTGACACTTAAATTAAAATCGTTCTTTAATATATTAATCTCAAAGTAAATGCGACGCAGTAAGAACACGTAATCTTTCCCTCGACGAATTAAAGAGAGTCCATTCAATCAGTCACTACAAGATTTAAATTCAAATCCTTGATGTCTTGTGTTTTATTGGGTGATGTTGATGGTAAATGATGTTGTCCATCTGTCGGCGGTACCAAGGTACATGGACACCTTGCCAACGTCGCTGATAAAAATTCGAAAGGATCGATCGACGCGACTGTCCCATGACGTCGCGTCGATCGATGGATACGTGGACACTGATATTGTGTAATAACGGTGCTATGATGCTTTATATTTTTCATTCCAATTACGCTGGACTGGATTTAACAAACGTTTTGATCAATTAGAGGCGAATAGGGGAGTTATTGTGGTCAATTAGTGACGGCAACTGGTGAATGAGTTATTTGTTCTGAATATTTCTATCATTCACTCTCGAACGATTAAGGATATCCAAGTACTTTGATTATTTTTTCTTCAGTGAAATGCTTTTGTACTTTTGCAGGAAGATTGATGAAATTATTTGAAAATTGCCATTTTTGATAATTAGGAGGATTTTACATGAATAATTGATAAACAATCAGTTTATTTGTACATTCGCTGTTTATAAATTATAATTGTTTATAATTGAAATTCTTTAAACCTTCGAAAATCTTATTTTTTTGACAAAATTCAGAATATGAAAAAATTTATTACGATTCTGAACAAATAATTTTTACTATTAATTTTTTAATTTAATTGACAAACTGTAAAAACTACTTGGAGATCCTTAATTATGTTTAGAAGCATGAAAAACAGTAGTGGGAGAAATGCGTGTTAACGACAGTTGTAAAATGTTCTGACGTTTACGAGGTATTCTACACTATCCACAAACATAGGGGCGAGGGGGCAAAATGGACACTAGAATTTTTTTCAAATATTAGAACCTCATTCAATTGTTGATGGAACAGATTTTTTTCCTTCGGAAGTATTCTTTTTCTCTCTGAAATGAGACCAGACCGAGCTCAATTAATCAATTTATTCCTGAGTTATGAGTATCAAAAAAATGTCTCTAGTCTCTATTTTGCCCCACCTCGCATCATTCTCAGGGATACAAGAAAAACGAACACACAGGGGGATTATACGTGTCCAACTACGCACGATTATCCATCCTTAAAGTGTTCTATACGTTTCATTAACACAGAACTCGTGGTGAACAAAATCTTCTTACTTTCCAAAGCGCCCATACTGATCCGCTAGATTACTCACGTATTGGGCAGCATGACTCGCGGTTGGATACTCGGCCCATTTGTTGAAATCTATGCTTGGGAGTACACCACTTTTGCAGGGTACTCGAGGATTTCTGAAAACAAATTATTCCTCAGAGTCGTTTCAATAATTCAAGTTACACTGTTACAAATTTTTGGCTAAAATTTCTCGTAAACTGATGAAAATTTTTATCAGACTCTAGTTCCATTGAAATTTCAGTGAATTTCGTCAAAATAATCAATTGAAGTTAATTGAATTTTCAGTGGAGTTTGAAATTTCATAATTTTTCCCTTTTTTTAAAAATCGAACTGTTCCATTCATCTTCAAAAAACAGTTATGAAGGGCTCCAACAGGTGTCTGTTTACTGTTGTGTTTTATTCATTTTGGAGGGTTCTTTGGTTTAAGATATCTTTGTCATAACTTTCAAATAAATAATTCAATTCTAATTAAATTTGCTGCTATAACCGTTAATGGCTGAAGAAGTGATATTTTTTTATTTTTCCCCCCTAATCGAAATTAATGTTTCAATGTTCTAAAAATTTCTACTGAATGGCCCATGAAATTTCAATTTTTTTTTCAATATCATGTTCTCAACGCAATTCCTCAGTATTGTACTTACATTTCGTGATCTGGAAGAACCATTGGATACAGTTGTATCGTATCAATGAGGTCTGTGTTGTCACAGATGAGTCTAGCCAGTCGCGCTTTGCGAATTTCATTCAGCTGATCTGCCTCGTAACAAAAAATGAGTTTAAAATCTATACAAATGTCCTCTAAACCCTCAAAATGAATTGTGTGACTTTACCGAGAGTGAACGACGACGGTTGATTCGGGAGTTCATACCAAAACCTGTCGCCACGTCTGGAATTACTGAACTGTGTGGCGATGACACAGGCAAAGGTGGGCCCAAGCATGCTCCCAGGGAGCGGTCGTTCTGAGACACCTCCCGACCAGAGGTCAACGTCACTGGGGTGCGTGAAAATAGAACTGTAACGTCTGATCGTCTCGTTGGACATTGAGCCGAAGAGATCCTCGAAATTATGCGCCTCGGGGAGTCCACACAATTTTCGGAATTCCATGTAACTTGGAACACCGAATTCCCTTCCGCGCTGCATGTTGAAGGAGACGAGATCAGCTCCGAATCGGGCGCCTACTTTTTTGAACAAGTGGTTCGTGACCTATTGGGAATTGAGAATAAATTTTGGTCAAGTTTATTCACTTGAAACATTTCGACTTTTTGGCTATTTTGGTTTTTTTTTCTCCAGTAAAATGCTTTTCTACTTTTCTAGTCGAACTTAGAGCTTTCATTTGAGCCCAGTTCACCCTAAGCTTCCGGACATTTTACTATGATTTTATTTTTCAAACTGTGAAGATCTGAATTTGAATCCCGATATTGAATCGTTCCAATTTTAGATTTTTAAAAATCGGAAAAAATGAGAAAGTTTAGTTTTAGAGGAAGATTAATTGAATAATTTCTATAAATAATTTTAAATCATTTGTTCGGAATCGTAACTAATTTATTCATATTCAGAATTTTCCCGGAAAACGATTTCATGCCTAAAAAATAAGGTTTCCAAAAGTTTAAACAACTTCAACTATTTATTTACAAACAACGAATGTTTAAAAAAATAATTGTGTGCCAAATTTAATTTCAATGACGCATTTTTTATGATATGCATTATTCATTATTTTTGTCAAATTTTTCTGACGCAATTAATTGACATATTTGATGATTGAAAATATTTTTAATCGCGTAGAAAAGAATTTCATTAAAAAACCTATCGAACTCTCTGAAAAATTCATATTTAGAAATTCCTACAGGAAATGTATCAATAGAACAATTGTACAGAATGAAATGAAAGAAGAATTTTCGATGATATCACACTAGCCTCTTGTGTGATGGAGTCATCCATAGCTTGAGCCACTTGGTTCATCAGCCCCATGAAATACTCATCGATAACACCAGCGCGGTAAAGATCATAAGGTCTTCGAATAAGATCGGACAGTCTCTTGGAAGCTGTAGAAATAACCCAAGTGAATTAATACATCAGCGAGCAATGAGAAATGAATAAAACATAAACTGGCAATTGTGGCAAAAAACTTGCCTATGAATTTATGCGCTTTGCTCCATCTTTCAACAGCTGTGGGCAACAGGGAGTGACCGAATCTGAAGGCCGCAGCGGCGAATGCGTCGATTACTCCCGGATTTACACTTGGATCGTAACCGTCCCAGTAATTCTAGATATTTTAATGAATATAAAAGTATTTGTGTGATTTTCTTCTCAAGGGGAGGTTCAAAAAACTTGTTCGTTTTTTGAGAAACAAAATTTTAAAATACTATTTTCCGCCCAATTTTTTCTCAGGAATCTGATTTTGTAGGTCATAATTGTCTCCTGCTACTCAAAAGTGTAGAACCGAATTTTTTTAAATCGAAAAATCAACTTAACAAAAATCCCCAACGAATTTTGTTTTCGTCAAAGACGAATTTCACGCGGAAAATAGTATTTTTGAAGTTTTTTTCTCAAAAAAAAATTTAATTGGAGAAGGATGTCACGTACGTGTTTCTCCAGCAGAAGTCCGAATTTCGCCATGACGTCCTTACCCAGTAAAATGGGAAGGAATTCATTGTAAGTGACATGTTGAATTTGCGCGATAGTAATGCGTCTTGCCTCCTGGAAGAGCGTCTCATCATCCCAATGGGGATTAACTTGAGCGAGTGCCTTGGCAATTCTATTATGCTCCCGGGCCATGAGTGTGTGCATACAGGTGAGCACAAGCTGTTCATTAACTCGAATTTCACCTATAAAATTCAATCACCACATTACGACCAATTTCGCCGAATGAACTCTCCCCTTAAACAACAATTATGCTCTAATTTCGAGTCATTCTTCATTTTCAATGACTCAAAATGCACACGTATAAGGGTAAGAATGTTGTCCGGAGGGAATCGTTACGTAATGTTTGATCTAACAAGTGGTAGCATTAACCCCTCTCTCGATTCACCCGAAGGCAAATTGAGGGGGGGCAGAGTATGCAGCGGAATGCGCGGCGCTGTCGATTAATCAATTCCTCAATTTTTATTCTTGACATTTTCCTTCTGATCGAAATGCAAGAGATGAAGGAGAACTGCGAAATTATTAGAGGGACTAGTGGAAATCACTCGTAAATTATCATCTCAGGAATTGGCAAATTATTGAGAATTATCTCGATAACTCACCGGCTTCGAAGCAGTACATTGATTTGTTGGGGCGCGTACACCCTTCGTCAGGAATGTCCAACTTTAGTGGCAACAAATCCTTCAATCCGTACTCGGCGAACACTGGATTCATACGGAGTTGTCCACCATAGCCTGATCTCAATTTTCTGAAATTAATGAGTGAAAAAGATGATTTTCTGAAACTTGTCACTAATCTTTAGAGATCTGTTACCAATTTTTGGTGATATTGTGACGAAAAATTAGTGACAATATCACGGAACTCCAAAACTTCCCACTTGCTGCATTTCACAAAGATTACCCTCACGGAAAAATTTATATTTTGAACAATATATTTAAAAAATATCTTAAATTGCCCAATTAATATTTTTTAAATATATTCTTTGTAAATTTGAAAAATATATGGAATTGGCCGACATTATATATTTTTTGATGGGGGTAATTCCTAATAATTTGGAATCAGTGACATGTCTCTGAAAATAAACACTTTTTCTCTCAGTGCATCGTAAATTCTACTCAACGAACCCATCATTCATAACAAATTTATCTGATGCAAGCAAGCAGTAAGTGAGAAAAAAATGACAGAGTGAGAATGACTCTCTTCAGTGAGGCAACAGCTAGTAAATTCGTACTGGTAGAAAGTTGGGAAGCCACGGAGTGATGTGTAGAAAATATGGAACACAGGTAACTGACATAGTTGATTTATGTTCGCACCGATGCAACAAAAAACCCCACGTCCCAAGGCATATCTCCGAGATCACTAGGCATTCGAATTACTCGAATTACTAATGCAAAGTTATGTGTTACATATTCGGGAAAAAAAATCCAGATGTTTTCCCAGTCGACTGATATAATACTTCAACTATTAAATTTTATTAGTTACCATGGAGTAATTGATAATCTCTGTAGGAGAAAAAATATGGAAAGGCGAATGCAAAATTCTGTGAAAATAGTGAATAGCGAATTTACCTGGCGAATTCCTCGCGGATTCCGTAGACAGTGTTGCCATCGAGAACACCAGTGAGGAGATTAAATGGCACTCGTGATCCAAGACGACATCCGGCCCTCACGCCGGGAAAGGCCCTGACGAAATCCATGCACCGGACGTTGAATAAACGATAGAAATAATCGTCCTCTGGTATTTCGATCTCATTGCAGTATGGATTCTTCAGGTGGGGCGGCCGCGAGCAGCACTCCTCGGGGTCGTTTCGATTCATAGGGTCTGGAATACATTGATTGGATCGTAATGAAAGCCTATAGAGTGTTTTATTTCAATTGAATTTTCGTCTGAATTTTACGGGCCAAATTCCCGAAATTTTTAACGCATCCAAGTTTCACTGAAATTTCAGGAAATCTTGTCATTGAAAAATCAAATATTCCATTGATTTTCTGCTCAAATGATCTGGAAATCAATAAAATACTCGATTTATCAGGTCAATTATTCTGTGAAAATTCAGTAAAATTAAAGAAAAAATTGAAAATTCATGTCATCTTGTGAAGTTTTCATCTCACTTCCTTGGAAAACCTTGAAATAGTCTTCTTTAATTGTGGATTCCTTCACACATTGGATCCCACAAAAACCCCTAGAGCAACTCAACTCAATGGGATCGAGTTCCAGGTGTCACAAGGATATTGCAATTTGAAGTTCATTGAAATTTACAATGGACAACGCTGAATTACCGAGTGGCGTTGCAGTCAGCGTGTAATCGTGATCCATAAATTGTCCCCAGGCGATAACCATGACTGTTCCGGCGTGGTCGTGAAAACCGTCGTCAGGGTGCATGGTTCTGGAAACGACGCGTGACAGGGGAAGTTTTTCGCCGGTAACGGATATTCGTGGAGCGCTCATTCCATCGGCGAAGGCTGGAGGCATCATCCTAATCATCGCACAAGAACATTCAAAAATGATCTCTTCCGGTCAATCTTTCAAATGTCGAAAAATTGAAGGAAGGAAATAGTGATTGACAGATAATTTCGAAACGTTTATTGAAAAAAAAATTGCGACTGAGTCCCTCCGAAATAACGAATGAGCACATCTATCTGGGTCGATGGGGAAAGCAAGGTTAAATGAAAGGATTCGAGAAAGGACCAACGTCGATTGGACATTTGCATCGTGCAGTTAACAATATAAAAATCGAAAGTATTCAGGGATTTTTAAGCGCGTGATTGTGGAGTACCTGGTGAAGGGAGAGAGGGAGGCGCCCCACGTCGGATGCTCTAGATTGGTGCAGAGACCGTCGAATCTCCGGTACTTTCCTGGACGGCATTCTACGTTGCTGACGAAAGCCGGACAGATCTCGTTAATGAGAGTCTTTGAGGTGTCAATTTGAGGAAGGCCTCTTTCGATCTCTTCGCTCGTCAACCCGTACCTGAAACGATGAATAATCGTCATGCAAATGAATTTAATTCCCCTCTTCTACTGAGCAATTCTCACATTTGCGCTAATGTCGTGGAAATGTCCAGGAGGAGTTCTCCGACAGTCGCCAATTCCTCGGGTTTCCAGATCTTCGAGTGCGGCTGAGCAACATCTTCATAATAAAAACTCAAATGAATATGAAAAATCGTCGTTATCAAGATTTCAATAATTCACTTCACGCTTCGATAATAATTACTCGTAAAAATCCAATAGCGCGAGCTTAATGAACCATTTGAAAATACCAGTTCACATAATACCTCTTACTTTATTTATTTATTACAATAATTTTTATCACTTCGGAGTGGAGGTGAATGAATGGAGGAAACTCACTGATTCGCTTTCGTGCCTCATAATAGGCGTGATTAACTGCCTCGTAAGTGATGCACGTGTGGGAACCCACTGAGGGTGTCCTGAAACAGGCATAATGGATGATTATTTGATTCGATGAGCAGCACTGAACTGTTGAAATGTGAATTACTCAAGCAAATGGTCTTCCTACATCACTTGAATTCCTCGTTTCATAATGAAAAAGGGAATACGTTATCTTGTGCTACTCGGGCCGAGAGGAAAAACTTACATAAGGAAAATTTTCAGTACACGCAATTATTTGAGCAGAAGTGTCTGCTGATACAACACTCCATGGGAACTGCATCATAAATTTTATCAGCTGCACGAGAATTAAAATGTAGAAAGGCTCGATTGAATTCTAATTTCACTATCGGGAAGTGTTTGGCAATTTTAGGTTTCGGCCGATTATACTGAAGAAACTTGAGTAAAATTTTCTATAAATTCGATCCAACGAGAGCCGAGAGTGACAGGATGAAAGGAGACAACGCATTACCCAACGGATTCGTCCTTTTTTTGGACTTGAAGCAACAAAAATTCACTTTCTTGTTCGAAGACAAGTTTAGTGGACATGAGTTTGCCAGACATTATTTGCATTGCCTCTGTGCGACCGAGTGAAACCACAAACCATGTGGTAGGCGCGGTCCAGATTAGATCCGAATCCGGCAGTGTTACTCCTGGCGGACGCTTTCACCAGTTTGTGGGGACAGTAGTTTGGCGAGAATGATCAGTTATCAGAGGGGGAGCCCTCCGCATTATATTATGAATCGCGGACTATTATGCGATGGCTCGAGGGCAGAATCGAGAGCATTTCACATTTAATAGGATTTCACAAATCGTATGAGTATTCAATGAGGCAGTGGATTTAATTGGTCCTGTTTTCCCTTCATTTCGGGGAAAGAAGTGATTCCTTAAATCGCACAAAACATCTGACGAAATTCTAATTGGGGTATTGAATCATTAAACTCCGGTTTGATATTTCATCCGTTTTTAAATTAGTCACATGGAACCGTGTGACAATTATGAAAGTGAAATTGCGTCATAAACGAGGAACTAGAATGAGTGAACCGAATCGCAACTGCCAATTTACAGGGGCATAAAATATGATCCAAATGTACGGATACAAATTGCAGAGTTGAACTGTTAAAAATAGAGCATTGTGCACCTTTCGTATGGACTGATAACCTTTCCTGCATGCAAGGAGTTGTCTTATTAAACGCAGAGTCACTACCACCACTGGAATTTCAGGATTTGAAAGTACAAATGATTGTTAAACTTTGGAATAAAACGAGAATCCAGGGGTGACCTTGACATGTTGCAGAAATATTTCGTGCATTATTTCATGCATTTTAGTTGATGTCATCTTGCAACTCACTGGCTTCCACGGAGTAAATTGTAAGTGTAATCGTAAGCACTTGTTCTCCCTGGACCATTGAGAATCAGGGCACAGCCGTCGTCATTGGAGTAAGAGTCAAACGTGTCAAACTTTAGTCCACCCCAGCAGCTGGTAACCAGCAACGAAAATACCGCAAACTGTGTTCTCACAGTAACAGACCTGAAACATTCCGTCAATCCAAAAGTTTATGATAATTTCACCTCATGAACAATTCACGAATTTCATTCACCATTATAATCACCACGATTAATCTACTGAGTTGACGTTCAGTTCAGAGAGTACATTACTCTTAGCAGTAACCCACTGTCTGATGTAGCTGTTCACCATTGTCTCGATCTGATTGTTTTAACACGAATCTGACAATACGATTGATCACGAGATAAGAAACAATCACCACAACGTGACAAACAACCGACAATAATATTTAATTCCTCATCGAGAGCATAAGAAAAAACATTGAGGTCGTGATCTTGAATAAAATAGCCTCCAGTATCGTAAACAATTAATTTAAATGAATTGAGGAGAAATATTTCCTCACGTTGAGTGCAAAAAAAATCCATAATTCAGACAAGCCTATTAACACATATCCTAATGTCTCCCTTAATTGAGTTGTAAATTCACGTGGCTTTTTTTTACGTACCTCGTGTCTTTCGCAAATGTGAATTCGTCATGTTAATCATAGGTGAACACTTTGTGGTATTATCCATGCCCCTAGTGTTCAGGCTAGTGTCCTGTCTAATGACTACTGACCTTGTGTTGCATGGGTTTAGAATGCCTGCTTATTTGCATAGTCTTACAATGGATTGTTGAATCCTCTGATCCCATTTTTCAGCATCTCCTCCGATTCTTTTTCATCACGAGGTACGATCTCTCATGATTATCATAGCTTCATTGGTTTTGCGTAAAATTATTACTATTTAATCGTAATTTTTTTCTTTCTGTTTACTTATTGCTATCAAATTAATATAATGATGAAAAAATTGGAAATTATTTAATAGTAATAATTATTATTATCAATGATTATATTATTAATAATTAATAATTATTGTTATTAATTATTATTATGATTATTTGTCTTCACGTGTGGACAAAAAAATTATTTAAACTCAATAACTGCAAAAAGTTGATTGCATTATTTCTTTTTTATACTTTTTATGACTAGTTGACTATTATCGATCGTCATCACTGATTCTCTCCGCGATATTTTCTTTCACACCAGACATAAGAATCGCTTCATCTTCACGGTCAAACGATTCTGCGGTTTTAGGACTAAGAAACAGTAGAGTGAAAGTGTGAAGTAATCGTGTAATCAATTATTGACAATGATATCTGTATTCTCTCTTCTTCCTTCGTCTGCGAGCAATTGTGGTCATTGTCCTCTGGACTAAAATTTCTGAAGGGAGAGGACGTTCCAAAGAACGCAGGAATTGGTAGTTTTTTCAGGGGGCGTTTTAACGAGCTCCGAAGAGTCCATCAATCAAGGTGTTGATGGTTGAGCCAGTGGACATGGAAATGGGAGAATTCAATGAATTCAACGAATGATATTATTAATGGGAACGGTTATTCCACTCCACCCGCGTGTGGATTACCCAATACTAGTGAATACTGCATCCTGCATCAGTTACAAAGGAATGATTGACGATGCGACGAGTGGAACATAATTCCGGGGAATAAAGGGGCGAGTTTACTCCGCGCCTTGATGTCTCTATCAGTTTAGTTTTCCTAGTAGCTCTTTACGCGGATCTTTCAAGGGTGGGGTATCACAGAAAATTTTATACTCAGTTCTTGAAATTACATACGACAATTTGAGTGGATGGGCGAATTTTTTATTTTTGAAGATTCGTAAAAACCTTCAACATTTAATTTGATTTAGGAAATCAAAAAATTTCAGATTTCCCTGAAAATTTGATGAAATTACACATTTTTTAGCAGAAAACATTACTGTTCAGTACCGAATTGAATTTTCATGGAATAATTGATATATAAAATTCACAGTTACCATCAGGGATCGGCATCAATCATTAGTATTAGTAATAGTTGAAATTTGAAAATTATAAAGTAACTAACAATTTAAATTTTTTAATTGACTATGAATTAAATAATTGAAAATATGAGATTGTAAATTGACTATCGGGAAATTTTTTTAGATTTCCTGAAAGGAATTTTCGATTGACCAAATAATCGTCAATCCTCCGAACTCAATTATTGATTGATAAAATAATTCGATATTCGGATATTTTAATGACTTTGTCTATTGACTTCGTCAAAATTTAACTTTATTTAAAATTTATGATTGTGACGATGTCTATAATGTTTAAAGAATTTTCAACAGCGGATGAAAATCCACGTCTTAATCATTTTTGTTATCTACACTGATAGAACGGATTAGTTATTGTTAACGAATGGATTTTGGTTAGAGGTTAGGGTCTATTCGGTCCCACCAAATGTTCATTCGTTAATAGTTAACGAATGTACATTTGAGGAGCCTTATTTGACTTGACTTTCCCCATTCAACTGAACCATTCGTTAACTATTAACGAATATTCATTTGGTCATATTCAACTCTACCATTCGTTAATAATTAACGAATCTCGTTTGAAATAAATGAATCATTCTATCAGTGTACTCGTTTTTCCAATCACTCGACAATTCGACAATTTTCTTCTCATCATAAAGACCTGTCATCCCTGTTTTTATGCAAGACACGCAGTCCAGGTATACGCAAGCCTATTTCCCATTAAAAAACAAAGCTCACTGAACGTAAAAAAAGTATCTCTGAAAACGTCTAGTACCGTATAATTATCCGACATCGCGAACGTCTCGGATCATCTAGGAGGCATGCCCTGCCCCTCTGACGATCAATTTCGGTGCGATCAATATCGAAAGCCTTGGAGACAGGATTAAATCGTCAAATCACGATGTGTGGTAATTCAAGATGAAATTGCAGGAGCGCATGATCCTTTCACTTTTCCAACTATCATCGATAACAACTGGATCACAAAATCCATTGAATTGAGACGATCACTTACCCATCGATCATCTTGAAGGCCGCCAGTACAGTCTCTCACTATCGATAGCTCTCCTTTTATCAATTGTTTATGGGAACAATGCCACAGCACACGCGTTAGAAAATCACTCGACAGTGGAAGAAGACGACTAGTGGTCAGACCAGTGTAGTAACGTACACGAAAGAACGACTGAACAGCGAGGTGATCGGCACCGACCTCGCTCAACGCTTGTTCCGCGACTTCTGACCGCAGACAACTCGTATCCTAGCTGTTCACTGTCTTCAAGATAGTTTCTTTCATCGATATCGCGGCGTAGGTGTGCGCCGGGCCCCCTCGGGGTGGGACTCGAAAGCTCCCCCAAATCGCGGACACCGGGAACTTGAGAAGGGAGAAATTGTAATTGTCCAGCCAGTGCCTTCCTTCAGGCTTGCCACTTCTGTCCGGAATTGACGTGATACTGAAACTCTTCAGACTTTCCTTTCTCTGAGGGAGACTTTGTCCTCCATCTCCAATTATTCGTTATTACCTTGCAGCTTCACTGACATTTTTTACAAATTTCGCCATTAAAAATTGTGAATTTTACGGAAAAATCGGGGAAATCATGAATTTCAGCTCAATTATTCTTGAATTTCATATTTTCATTGACACTTCAAGTAAGTCGAGGAATTCTTGTCTTCCTGAAGTTCAAAAAATTGAAATTTCGCTAAATTCCGTCATTCAGAAATTTGCATTTGATGGAAAAATAAAAAAAGAATGTAAATGATAGGAAATTATAATAACTTCGGAAAAATTCTCGCTCTCACAATTCCGTAAACTCTCATCGGATTACGAAAAATTAATCTCCACACCATGAGTTTCTTTCACCAATGCGCCTCGGCTGCATCCAGCCATGTGTGCATCCCAGATTACTTCACCATTTCATAGATGAGGATACCAAGCGTGGATCTACCCGGGGATCGGACTCGTGATCGATAATCATTGAGTAACAAATTCATACAGAAGTGGCACACGCTTTCAGTGACGTAGATATACAATCCCCCCACGGTCTCCCTTTCTTTGCCATTCCTCTCTCCCATTTCTCAGTGTGTTTTTTATTCTCCTCTGTGAATTCGAGGTCACCCTGGTACCTGCACTTAATCTTGGGAGTTGGTCGACTTATGTCATCCACACGTCGAGCTGCATGAAATTACGTAAAAATAAATTTTACGATAATTAGGGAAACGTGAGTAATACTCTTTCTAGGTTTTTTCCTTCAGTCTCTGGGTAATTTGAACCGTTAACTTTACGCCGCTAATGAATTCCGTTTGTATTAACTGTGGGCATTCTGTTTCATATTTGTTTTACGAAAGAAAGGATTGGGAGTTGTAATTGCGCATAAGTCCGTGGGATAATTGCGTGGGCGATGGGCTTTGTACTGAAATTGAAGGATTTTCAGCCACAAATGCATACGCAGATATTTCTTCTCTTCAACTGAGACAGTTTCAATTGACTTGGTTTGTTCCATTGTTTTTTTTAATTATTTTATTTTAACTCAATGTTTTTCATTCCAAAAAATAATTGGAGGAAAAGAAATTGAACAGACAAACAATTTTGCAACATCAAGAAACTAAATGAATTGAAAATTGATTTAAAAATAAATCAATAAATAAAAGATAATTGGATGAATTGGAATTGGAAAATTCTAATTAAGAACTTTGAGTCTTGAAGCGAGAATTGTGTTCCTTCAATCCATCACGCCCCATCGGCTCAACTTCATCCCTTTCGTCGAAGCTTTTCTGAAGTTCTTCCGAACGGAAAGCAAACGCGTGTTCTCAGGGCAACAGCTCGAAGTCTCCACGAGATAATGTGTTAGCAGTGTCTATGATACACCTACGCTCCAATTTTCAAAGTGAAAGAGTACGCGGAGGTACGGCGAAGTGCGAGAGTCTTGTGGACGAGGTGATGAGGACGGCGATGGTATTGCCTGTGGAGGGGGAAGAGGAAGCACCGTTGACGAGTCACGTTCGAGTCACGAGTGCGGTAAAGGCGGCTAAAGTAAAAGTGAAGTAGCATCACATGATCAAGCCGAGAGACGGCTCTCGGCGCGGATGAAAGACCCCGTGGAAACGGCCTGCTTGATGCAATCGCCGACCATCTCCTTTGTTCCTTTCTTCGGTGAACGCTTGTTTTTCGTATGTATTTCGGGGGTTTAAATTGCATAATTCGGTGAACGTTATGGGGGAAAAAAACGTTTGCGGGAGGCGACCGGGGAAACAACATTCTCTCGATTAAAATATCAATTTAATTTAGTTTTAATTGAGACATTTTACCAGTTTCTTCAAGACATTTTTAGGAAATCTTGAAAAAGCGGACAAAAGTGTCTATTTAAGACGTAATTTTATTCTGTTCGAAGACAAAATTCAATACTATCGAAGATTATTGCCAATAAATGAAATTTTTCTCCTGTGTCCACACACTCCGCAGAATTCTCGGTCGAGTAATTTTTTTGCACTAGTGATTTATCTTGTTTACGAGGAAAAATGTGATAAATCATTTATTTTTATGAATGAGACCCCAAATGTTGTTGTTTTTTTTCATGGGGAGGCATTCGGAATTGCCGGCGGTCGCATTAATACTAGAAATCTACATAATAACGGCCTCAAATTAGAGGCAATCACTAATTCGAGAACTCCACGAGCATGATATGTGACGATAAATGTCGGGAGAATTAAAAAAAACTGTCGTATCGATTCCCGTGTCTTAATTTAAGACGTAATTTTATCCGGTTCGAAGACAAAATTAAATGCCATCGAAGATTGTTACCAATAAATGAAACTTTTCTCCTGAGTAATTTTTTTGCACCAGTAATTTGTCTTGTTTACGAGAAAAAATGTGATAAATCATTCATTTTTATGAATTAGACCCCAAATGTTGTGGTTTTTGTACATGGGGAGACATTCGGAATTCCCAGCGGTCGCGTTAATACTAGAAATCTACATAATAACGGCCTCAAATTAGAGGCAATCACTAATTCAACAACGATTCCACGAACATGATATGTAACGGTTAAAATTGAACAATTTAAAAAAACAGACGTATGAATTTCCGTGGATTTTTTACATCACTCAATTTATTTTCCATCGATTGAACGAAAGTATTTCCTTCGATTCCGAGAAAAGTTTTGGTTGCAATGTGGATCTTTCCGGTGAAAGGGTAATCGTAAAAGGAGGGCAATTATGGACCAGATCATTCAGAGATGATAATTGTTTCAAACCATTTTAGTTTTCCTTATTAAGGGCATGAAAATGCTGTTGATGACTTGTCCATTTGATAATGCAAATAGTGGAGAATAATTCTGATGAAAAATGAAATTGTTCATCATACGTGGCCTCATTTCCTGCTTTTCCATTCATTTTTTCACGATTCAAAACCCTTTTATTCTGCTGGGTAATCACAAAAGTGGAATGAAAAACCGGAATCTCTCGAAATGTCGCGGTAAAAATAGTGATTTTATGAGGATAATGCACGAAATTAGACAATAGATGAGACAACGACGCTCCGCAATCAGAAATATTCACTTAGTTTTATTATTCTCCGCCTCTAGTGCTATTTACGGTCGTGCGTATGTACGATTCTGCCACATTATGGTGATCACGTTGCAACCGGCGCCCCGAGCGAGCTCATAGTCATGTGGGTTCCGCCGCCCCGTCGTTCCATAAATTTTCATTCGAATAATTATTTCTCTCTCTCGTGTGAGAATTGGTGCAAGGGATTACGAGAATGTCGATGTCCTTGTGAGGACAGCTGTTAATGACATGAAGAATAGGCAGATTTCGTAGCGATATTAAACGCCGAACTCATGGCACAATTGAAAGCCACAATTTCTGGATTTTTTTAATCAGAAAAAAAATTAAAAAACTTGAATGACAACGAGTAACGGAAATTCGAGTGTGAAGTGTCTCATTTCCAACCGATTAATACAAATTTTTCTGCATTAAATGCCCCAGTGAAAGTTCCTGGATGAAAGTGAGTTGAATAAAAGCGCAGAAATAATAAACTTACTGCATGTAATATCGGTATCCTACGCATCGCCGAGCAAAGAGCAAGATCCGCATGAGAAAAAAGCTTCCGCGAGTGCTTGAGGTTGGGTTATATCACTGGGATGTTTTATTTATCGAGTCCCCTACGATTACCCCCACTGCGATTTCTCACAGCTATGAAAAAAAGTAATTAGAGCAATCAACACCTCAGTAGTGAGAGGAAGATAGTCCATTAAGTCCGTGTTTTTACTCATTCGCCAGCGCATGAGTAACGAAATCGCTGAAAATTTCTGAAATTGTTTCTCCATTCGCGGCGATTTATTTCATCTCATTGCAGGGCAATTAATTTATCAAAACCGCAGACTCACCGCGTGGTCACCAAGTGGAAACGCCGAGTAATGGAGGCGTCGATCACGGGATATCGCACCGCATCCTCTGACAAACTTGACATTTTTCTTTTATTCTCGTTTCGGAATTGTTCCGCGGTTTTTCTCTCCACATTTATCTCGACATGAGAATTTAGAACTTTCACCGTGAAAGGAGTCCGATGTCACGTTGAGGTCATGCGAATGACCGAAGTAACATGAGATGCATTTTACAAATGTGAGCAAACAACCGCCTCTTCCTCTTCTTCACAAGTGCTTTGGCTTTTTTTTCTCCTGTGAAATGCGTTCAACAGTTTCCGGACATTTTACAATGATTTTATTATTTAAAATTTGTAAGTGCGAATTTAAATCGTGATATTGAGCCGTTAGAAAACGTTTTAGAAATCTGAACAAATGGGAAAGTTTACTTTTGGAAGAAGATTGTAATTTTTTTCTAGTTTATTCATTTTTTTCATCAAATTTATGTTTAAAATTTTACTAGAAATCGATTTCCTACTTTAAAAAATTAGATTCCCATCTCATTTATTTATTTATAGACAACGAATGTTGGAAAAAATTATAATTCTGTGTTAAGTGTAACTCGCATGACGCCGAATAGTCATGATTTTTTTCAATACATTTCCCGCAATTTAACTGACAAATTGGATGATTGAAAATAACTGATTTACAGTGTAATCTCTGCCAAATTGTAAAAGCCACTTTCCTTAATTTCCCAAATCAGTCAGAAGAATTTAATTCATTAAAACATGCAGTACAAACAAAAATTATTCGTGTTTAATTACGAAGTTTATCATGTTTATCTCAGAATGTCGAGTTGCATAAAATCGGCGACAAAATAACGATCTCAGTGACCGAATTTCATCGAATCCTATCACATGACTTGTAATCACACACTTTCAATTGATGTAGCCAGAGGGGGATAATTAAATTTCCACAATTTCAAGTGTCAAAAGTATTACAAATCGGTCCACCATGGTTTACGATAGGATTTTAGTAATTAGGACGAAAAAAATAGACGACAAAATCCCGGCAAAATCGTGCAAATAAATTTCCAATAATTGATATTTTTAGGACGTGAGAAGAACAAACACTGGTGGGAATAATCAGGATTTATTTTTTATTAGGTAACTCGGGGAATAGCCTCGAGCTGTCGTTTCATCATCGGGTGTGTAAGTGCATTCGGTAGAATGTGAAATAATTGAGAGTTTTGATACAGTTATCGATACATGCATTTACAATCGTTGGTAGAGTGCAATGAGCGCCTTCTGGATACACATTCATCTTTTTCCAGTGGTATTATCGGGCTCATTCAATCGACTCCCTTATTGATATTCACTTGATGGTTTTGTACCACCCGTGAGACATAATTTGACGTGACGTGGAGGTAAACACCAAGATGAAGTGAAGGAATTATCGAATAACAGGGAAATCCCACTTTCCATATTCTCTCATTTATGAAAAAATTCAATAGAAAACCTAGCGAATTCGCTAGAAAATTCTATTGAATTACAATTGAATTTTAAGAAAGAGAATTCAATTTCAATTCAATTTTTTCTCCAAGAATTCAATTCAATTATTTTTACCTAGAGAATTCACAATTTTTGTTTTTTGCGAATTGAATTCGCTGGAAAATTTTATTGAATTCCAATTGAATTTTCTAGCGAATTCGCGAGGTTTTCTATTGAATTTTGTCATGCGTGCCAGTCACTATTTTGTACCGAATAAAATTCACGACTGACAACGATAATTATTTCTGACTGTGACTGACACAAAATTATGTAACGAAATAAGTATAAGGAATTGGGGTAAACTCGTAATTTTCATTATCTTTCGTAAATCCCTCACGGAATTTAATTAAAATTTTTGTCAACAAGTCGCGCCTAGTCATTGGAAAAATCCGATAAACACGAGTCGATCTTTCTCCTTTTTCCGGAAAATTATCACTGAGTCCTAGTGACATAAATAGATCGGCCACAGGAGGTTCTCCCCCACGCATCCAACGACGGCAAAAGAAAACGCAAATCGTGACGAAACTTAGAAGGAATCAGAGGAGACAAGATTTGTGATTTTCTCGACCTCAATAATTTCAATGGTAATTCCATCTGAATCAGAAAAATGACTGTATCTCAGCTGAATTATAGCTGCGCTTGATGAGTCATCCCATATTTATCACAATCAGAAAGTGGAAGGATTTGTTCCACTTTGTAATTGCAATATTTCACCTAGGATTATGATTTGTCATTTTTATCATGAAAAATATAAACTCTTGTTACGATTCCAAAGAAATGACTTTTATCGTGAAAAATTGATTGTTTGCAATTTTTTTTCATTTAAATTGTTTGCAAATTACCTATAAAAAAATCTTAATTTCCAAAAATCACAATTTTCAAATTATTTCATCAATCTTTCTCCGTATGTAAACATTCTAATTTTTTTCAAATTTCAAAAATGTTTTCTAACTGTTTAATATTGAAATTCCAATTCTCACATGCAAAGTTTAAAGAATAAAATCATTGTAAAATGATGATGATTTGCAAAAGTATAAAAGCATTTCAGTTAAGAAAAAACAGCTAAAGTACTGGGAAATCCTTAAATATAAAAAAAAAGAACAGAATTATTTGAAATGAACAGATGTTTATTTAATTTGCCAGTTTAAAACACTTGTTTTTTTTTCGCTATCGAAGGGAAAAGATTCTCGCGTTGATTGCAACGAAAAAGAGATGGTTGGTCCCATTGAAGAATGGGCGTAGCCGGACAAGGCTGTTCATGAGTAAATTCCAGGCGAAAGAAAAGGTACCACAGCTCGAGTAATTCGGAGACCTTGGCATTCTCTGTTGTATCGTGACCTCAATGTGGTGTGAATGTAACATATTGAGTGCCAAACCTTGACTAATGCCATCATTAAAATAATAATATAAATAAGATATCCTAGCCGGAGGATATGCTTGATCGATGATTGAATAATTACTCTACGAAACGATAAAAATTGCAACTAAATATTTCTAATTGATGTCATTGATTATCGCCAAATAATTGAACCTTTCAGACTCGATAAGTTGGAAAATTTGGCTTTAATTAGAGGTATTATTTGGTTAGACTCACACGAGTTAGTCTAGTTATCCAAGTTTGTATGAACGCGGATAAGTTGTTTTTTTACTCAAGATTGAGGGATTATTGCACAAAAGTGTGGGCACGTGAGGGGAATTGTTAAACTGGGTTTAATGGCTAGACTCTAAGGGTCATTCCACACTAAATTTCATTCAATTCAGTTTGTGGTATATGTTCCATGCGTCTAATTTCTCCAGCTCCTCGCTCCATCTGAAATTTAAACAAAAAATCAAGTTTATCTCCAAATTATCTCAAACTCTCTCGTGTAAGTTTGAAATGTAAAGGACATGGAAAGCCTCACGGTATAAACAACTAGTGTGAATCATCCCTAAAGATATAACCCCTCGGTGCCGCGCGTGCCTGTAATCGCGCACGTTCCCGCTAATTTGTTGTTATTAATCTCGAAGCCGTGCACTGTTATTTTGCGTGGAGAAGTGGATCGTTGGAAGGACTAGTTGTAGGCTGGGAGAACAAAAGAAAAATGGAGATATCTGGAAGGAAAAAGGGAAAGGCCTCTGAAGGAGGTGCTCTATTTCAACTGGGTCAAGCCTCATTTTTTATCGTCTTCATTTCAATTACTTCCCGTCACGTATGGAAACATTTCACAGAAGAATCTATTGAACTCTGAAGAATTCCAGATATTCTTGATGAATTCTACAGAAAAGAATTAATAGAATTCAATTTTCAAAATAAATTGAATTCAATTTGTTTTCTGTGTTTGATTTTTTTAATAAAATAAAAATAAAAAAATAGAGTGAAAAAAAATTTGGAAAATTCATGTCGAGGAGTTCCTACAGAAAACATCTCAATAGAAAAAATCGTATGGAAAGATGAAATTTCAATGAAGTTCAATAAAAATTTAACAGAATTTTTTATAGAATTCGCTGGGGTTTTCATTCAGAAAATGACAAAAAGAAAATAAATGGGAATGGTCTGAAGATTTTTCACTCGCGAATAAAACCCGATTTGTCCTAATGGAGACACATCATCATCGACGGGATCAGGTGTGTAATTAATAGACTCGTGATCTAATCTTTCATTAGTTAGTGGCTGGTGTAGTCCAGCCGACCCTGATCACACCATTCGTGGCCTGCATTCTGCTTTGTAAAAGATCAACTTTCGCCTGGTCACATGAGCAATACGCAATCATGGTGCATGTCTTCCATCTCTTTCTGAGTAACCAGTGACGCCTCGTGTTGCTTTTCACGTGGAGGAGTCATATTTCCGTGCCCAACAGACTAGACACAAAAACCCGAGTAACATCTGAAGTAATTAATCGTGCAAATGTTGGCTTTAAATTAGGCGATACTTCTTGGACTGGGAAAAAAGTACTGATCGTTAGGATTTTATGAGCTGGTGGAGTGTTGGGTGACGCACCAGGTGGTCGAGGTGGCATTTTAGAAATATGGTTGTTAATCCTCGGTAATTGCTTTCCGCAATGGCTCAATTTAGGCGCGTTCTCGTGGAGACAAGGGCTTGGCTGAGGTATTGGTGAATTTTTATCACCTTTCTCTTAATTAATGACAGCCGGAGAGGAAGAGAGCAGTTCGATTTAATTGACACTTGTAACACCTCTAGTTACTTGTCAAGATGTGAGGAAATTTCAGCAGGAAAGCGATAAAACGATTCGAGTAGACTTACTACTCGGTTTTTAATTAATTGATTGAGGTTTATTAACTGTACATTAAACATAACAAAGTAAACATAACATGAGCAGGAAACAAAGAGACACTAAAAAAGACATAAGCTTAAGCATAAGAAGACACACTGAAACACAATAAAGCAAAATGCGACGTGATACCATTGTAAAAAACATAGCTGAGTTTTTGCGGAATATCTCCGAATCTAAGGGAGATAGCGAAATTTTCATTACGACCTTTTTTGTAGAGCGAATTGAGAGCTGCAAAAAAGTTTGTGTCAAACATTTTGCTAGCTGCCTTGGATTCCGAGATATTCATTGAAAACTCATACATAGTCAAATCGACGTAAACTCTTTTATCGCTTCGTTATTTATTTATGTTAACGCAATGTTGCTTCAGTTAATCTTTCGATGAGAAAAAAACGGGCACTCGAAAAATAATTTTACTTGATATTTCAGGGCGATATAAATTTCTTCGTGAAAAAAATTGAAACATTTATACAACTAATCATTCCCGACACATTTTTCTCCACTAAATGTGGACCGGTTGATCTCGTGACTCGTGTTGACTGCACACAAGACTTATGTGATATAAGCAATGTCTAAAATGGAATGAAATCGGCTATTGGAAGGGATTCGCATTCAGGTACCTCATCAACAAGTTGCGCATACCGACCCAGTTTATATCGTCCCGAATAGTCACGGGGTTTACCTTCTTTTCATATCTCACTTGATCCGGTGGCTTTTATTCTCGATCTACATTGACTACAGACTCCTATCGCGGGGTACAATATTCCCTCTCGGCAAGGAATCTTACTCAATTCACCATAATTATAATCGCTCGATTTAATGGGCGAACAATTCACCTGAGAGGCTTGTGATACCGCGGATCGAATAGCCAGAGGAATGTTGCATATTAGGGACTGTTCTCTCTTGAATCTCTTCGATCATGATTGTGGATACGCTGCGGAGCATGGCACAATGCGATTTTATTAACAATAGATTTTTTATGAATTCTATAAACTCTTACTCTGGAAATTAATGGATATCTCATAGGATGATCTGCAGTTGTGAATAGAGCACTGAGAAAAATTTTAGTTTAAGGATATCCGGGTATATTTTATATCTTGGTACACACTGTAGCCATTTTCAATCATCAAATTTGTCAATTGAATTACGTGAGAAAAATTTGAAAAAAGACCATGAATGTTCAGCGTCATTTGAATTATTTTTTGCAGAGTATTATCTTTTTTTTACATTCGTTGGTTATAAATAAATAATTGGAATTGTTTGAATCTTTGGAAGAAATGAGATTTACGGTGGAGAATTGATTGTTTATAAATTATTTATAGCAAAGGCTCGTAATTTTCAAAAATTGCAAACTTTAAATTATTTGATTAATTTTTTTCGAGAAGACCTGCAAAGTTTGAATAATAAAATCATTGTAAAATGTCCGGAAATTTAGGGTCAAAGTAGAGAAGCATTTCAGTGGGAAAAAAGTAGCCAAAGTACTTGGATATCCTTAAAATGCATATTTTGAGTAAAAATTTCCTAAAAAATCATCTCGGGGTCATTTACAATAGAAATTCGCCTCCTTGTGAGGATCTAATTCTCGAAATAGTTGTTAAATCTTATGTTACGGTGTGAGTTCTTTAGAATTTTGAGTCGACTTGTCAATAACAATGACTGTACCTCCGTTCGATTCTCTCAAGGAAGATTTACTCGAATTTGTAGGGCTCGTCGTGCTGCGTGGTGTTGTCGTAATGGAAGCTAGGGTAGTTTCGACTCTGTCCTTCGCATCGGTTGTAGGGGATTTTTCAGTTGTCGTAGAAGTCGAACACTTGACAGAACACAGCGAGAACGTCCGCGTAGTTTTCGACGCCGGGTGTTCGCAGAAATGGTTGCAAAATTTGCTCATCCAATTGTGAATATTCAGGCTTCCAAATCCGAATCGTAATGTTGAAAAGTCAACAGGGTCCCTCTGGCCAAATCAGAAGGGGTAGAAATAAAAATCAGTAGTGAAGTGGTAACACAATACAAGTCAATTTTGATTGTGAACCAGTTTTCAATTAATATCTCGGAATCTAAGAGAGATAGCAAAATTGTTAGTGTAACCTTTTTTGTAGAGCCGATGGAATGCTACAATAAATGTAATTACGAAAATTTCGCTATCTCCCTTAGATTCGGAAATATTCCTCAAAAACTTAATTGGGAGATGAATCGACTTAGACCGTTTTACCACTTCGGTACTGAAATATCTTTGCAATGGCAGAAGTAAATTGAAAACGACGTTTATTCACCTGCGCAATGACCACGATCGACACGCAAACCAGCAGAAAAATACATTTGCTGATTGTCTTCATGGCTGAGTGAATAAATATTGAAAATTAGAATTTGAACTGATGCCTCAGAGAGATTCGATGACTCGCTATGACTGACGACCCCGAGCTACTCGTCTTCATTATATACTTCGCAGAAACCTAGAAGCATAGAATTTTCATGTCTATGCATAAATTGAAACGCAGATAGTGAGATTCAATTGATATTGTCGCGTTCAACGACAATGTGGCCCAAATTTATATTCGGGTTGGGGCCATCAACATCATAAACTTTATTTTCATCTTTTGTACTGGTTATCACCTTCCAATGTGGGACATTGGTGAGTGAAGGAAATAGGATTCAATGTTTCAACACTTTCCCCTCTTACGTTATTCTCCATTGAATATTTTGCTGATAAGATTTTCTGAGAGGTTTTTGACGCAGTGGAAAGACATTCGACGATTAGAAAATTCGGACAGCCGAGTGATAATACGATAATTGTAGTCGACCTGTCACACAACGCAGACATTTTAATCATCACTTCATTATCGTTTATTATCATTTAGTCATTATTCTCAGGTGGTTCACCCCGGGTAGAAGAAGTTTTTCGCTTTTCGAGAAAAAAAAATTTTAATTAGTATTTTCCGCTTGATTTTTCCGCAGGAATCCGATTTTGTAGATCAAAAATGAGAGATTCGAATTTTTTTAAATCGAAAAATCAACTTTAAAAAATCCTCAACGTTTTTAAAAATAGTTTCTTAAATACGATCGCAAATTTTCGTTCCTTAATTATGAAAAATGCGGGAAAAGATACGTTTATCACGCGAAAAATAGTATTGTAAAAAAAATTGTATTTTTCCTCAGAAAATAAATAGTTGAAAAGGCGCGAAACAATAACAAAAAAATTCTAGACATCATTAGTGTCTTCAGAATTCATTTCAATACAAAAAAACAATTCAATTCACATCGCGAGTTCATTCAATTCTTCATTCCTCCACCCGCCGCTGCCAATCGCCTCCTGCGACTGTAGCGCGCACACGTGGTCTCTCTCCCAAAGCACGTGAAAAACAAACACATGAGGAGCCCCCTCAGACTCCCCAAAAATGTCGAAAATACTGAATTTATACAAATCACTGGACCAAAGCAGTGACCAGTGCACGGAGTTCATAGAGAGCCTTCTCTCAACCAGTTCGGACCTGCCCCTGAGCACCGACGAAGTAAGTTAACCTCTCTCTAACCTCAAACCCGCCACAAACACAACATCTAACTAATTCAAACGTGACTCCAGGTGAACACCCTTCAGAATTCCATCATAAGTGCCATCAACTCTCGCCTGAATGACTCAGGGACTCGCCACGAGGGTTTGAAGATCCTCTCGAGAGTTCTGCCCACCTGTTCACAAGAAACATTATCAAAATATGGCTCTCTCTGGTTGGGAAAAGCCACCCAACACCTGGAGAGCCCCCACAGCACCCCCAAAGACACAGATCTCTCCTGCAAAGTCCTCTCCAAACTGGTGATCTCCTGCAAAGAGATTCCAGAGCTGCAGAAGCAGATCTCCATGCAGAACGTCAAGCAGCTGATAGCCCTGATCTCCAGCATGACTGAGGAGAAAAGAACTGGCGGTGTATTCTTCGTATTGGCGACACTCTTGTGCCACTATCGAGAGCCCTGCGAACGCCTCCAGTCGACGATTCAGAAGCTAATCATTCCCCCAATCGACTCCAAGCACAGGAATTTGGTTCAGGCTGGTGCCAACTGCTTCACTCTCCTCGCAAAGGCGACAGAGCGATCCTTCAAGCCCCCTGAGACGTCCCCTGACTTCACAAGCATTGCTTACCAGCAGGCCCTCATCAGCAACGATCTCCACGTCATCCTGGATGAATTGTTCAGTGGAGTCCTGGAGCTCGACACTGTGGACATCTGGGGATCCCTGGAACTGCCCAGCCTCCCCCAGGAGAATGTCGTCGAGTACTACCACAACGTGGAACGAAGGTTCCAAAATCTCTGTGTCTACCTTGCCACAACCCTTCGTGGTTGCGCTGGGAAGAACTCAGTCTCCTGCAGGACGATAATGAAACTCGTGTGTCGAGGACTGGCAGTGGCTCCTGAGAACCTCTCCAACGATGACTCTTACAAGAAGGAAATACTGTACCTGATGCTCCCGAAGATTCAGATGAGTTTACTAAACGTATTGAATGCCTTCATCAACGGTTTTCGTGGGGAACTCGTGCCCTTTGCTCTGACAATTCTGCAGTTGTATCGACAGACGTTAAAGTGGACGGGGAAAGTCGATCAGAGTGAGAGGACGATGGGGGGCAGCAAGCCCTTCAAGACCATCAGGATTGGGGTCTACAGGAGTTTATCGTTGTGGCTGAATTGTCTGGGGAGTCTGTCTGGTGTTGACATGATAGCAGAGGATATTCTGCCAAATATCGTCAGAGATGTGACGCCAGAGAGGGACCAGGTGCTGCTGACCATCCAGAAGACCCAGAATATGTCTAAAAAGGCTCTGAAGAAGTTCAAGGACAGCCAGTATGAGAGTAGCATGGTTCTGGGGAGTGCCCCTAGGGTCGAGAAAAATCCACTGACGAATGCTGAATTGTGCAGAGAAGCTCTCGTTGCTCTCCAGAATATCTTCTACAATTCGGGGGTCTCGGTGGGGCCAGGGGTGTACAGAGCTCTTCATAAAATTATCGTGCCTCTTCTCCTGGATGTTTACATGGAGAAGGACGAACAGAGCCTCTACTCGAAGGACTCTGAGTGCAGACTGAATTTATTGAGGGCCCTCAGGGCTATTCAGATGAATCCTAGTGCACTGACAACTCCTCCTACCCAGTATTCAATACAAATCTTCCAGCTGGCGAGCAATGATGGCGATGAAGGGGTCGTGAGGGAAGCTAGAGTGGCTCTTGCTGAGTTGGAGAAGATTGTGCATCCTAGTGCTGGTCCTCTCGACTTTGCTCCTCCTCAGGCTCAGGAAGACTCTAGTCAGGATGTTGAATGCATCGTTAGGAGCTCGACAGGTGCTGATGCTGTCGACAGAATACGAAATATCGTGGAGCAAATTAATAATTCGAAGAATGAGAGGCTCGAGGCTTCGAATTATGAGGATAGAGATGTGGAGAAAAATAAAGAGGTGATGACGAATGGAAAGGGGAAGAAACGAGACAGTAGTACTGACGAAATTGAGGTGATAAGAGACGAAGTGGCGGACGATGACATCGAGGTGATCGAGAATGGTCAGCAGCAGCCTCCGAGGAAGCAGAGGAAGATCCAGATAGTCGAGGATATCTGCATACCACCACGGGGGAAGGGGGAGCACAGCCCCAAAAAAACTCCCTCCATCGAGGAAATCCCCCAGGACGTGCCTGAACGATATTCCCAGGACAGTTTTGACAGCAATCGAGGGGAGAGTGCCTACTTCACCATCAAGGATGCGCAGAGGGTGTCTGCTAACAGCTCCACGAGCTCGGATCAGCCTGTGGAGATCATCAAGGAGATCAGCCTCTCCAAGGAAATTAGTATAATCGAGAGTGAATCTAAATCAGGGAGCAAGGATGATGGGTCTGATGACGAGGTCATTCTCAGCATGTTTTGCGATCAAATAAAAGATTAGTTTATGCTCTTAATTTTATAGTCTTTATTTATTTTTTCATCTGGTATTTTCATCGGAAAAATCAAAAGTTCTCGCGAATAAAAAATCAATGGCTTTATTTCATATTTTTAATTTATCATCAAGAAATAATTAAAGAAAGATTTTTATATTGAAAATTTTTCGTCGTAAATCACAAGTTCTCGTGAATAAAAAAATTGCTATGTTTTCATCTAAAAGAGGCCAAACGTGGGAATTTTCGGAAGAGACACAGTTGGAATTCCTCCAGGAATGACTTTCCCTCCCACATTTCCCAGCCCATCAATCGGTTTTTTTATGGTATCGATAGGAGGCACTAAATCAACAATTTTCTTCGTCTCCTTCCCAAGTCTCTCGACAGTTTCAGACGTGACCCTGAGGACGTCACAACTGGGTGACACTAGTTTCTCGACAGCCCCAGTCCATAAACTCATTTCGCAAAATCTAAAGTTCTTCATGGGTTTTATCTTATCAGTTATGCTAATGTAGGAGTTATCTTCGCTGGAGAATGACGGAATGCCTCCGCTTGCCTCATCCCCTCCAGGTTTTCCCGTTCTAGCGAATTGTGAAATGAGATCTGTGAAGATATCCGTGACCCCCTCGTCTTCCTTTGAGAATGGCACTGGTGGTAGTTGGTCCCCGAAGATGTCATTATGCCCGAAAATGAATCCCAGATCGTCTCCGTGGCCTGTCGACCCCAGCGAGGGGTCCTTGGCGTCCACCAGGGGCAGCCCAGCCAGGAAGTTCTTCCCATGAGAGTGTTTAGTGCTGTAATCGAAACTGTAGAAATAAGCATTCGCCTTTTTGCTCCAGTAATTGAGGGTCATAAGGGCGGGGGCGTTGAAGATTGCGTCGGTCACTGCCTCGGCTACTTTCTTCAAGCTCTTTTTTAATTTCCCACCCGCAGGAATCTTTAGGTATTCACTGAAAGCGCTGGGAATAAACTGCCGCGAACTATTACCGAAAAACGGAATTGTGTTCTGGAGAGAAGGCAGTAATTCTTTATTCAGAAAGTCTGGGATTGTCTTTAGTTTATTCTGTATTTCGTTGCTGTAGCCACCGGAGATGGAATCTCCAGTTTCGTCCTTGACAACTCCAGTGAGAAGAGGAATTTTTGGGAAGTTTCCGAGATTTAAGATGTTTTCGGGCTTGTCAGTCATGAAATTCGGGAGACCCCTGTGAAAAAAAATTGAGAGATGTGATAAAGACTTGAGGCGATAAGGCGCGGATAAATGAATTAATATCTAAATATTTTTATCATTATTCTTATTATATTAATTTTAATTTTAAGTATTTTAGCTTTCTCAGGCTCCGTAAAAATTTAACTCTCATAAACGTCAGTTTTTGTTATATTAAAATGAAATTTTCGTCTGTAGTAAATTACTCTAGAGCCTGAGAAAGCAGAAATATTTATCGAAACGCCAAATTCCTAAAAATATCACGCGAAATGGAATTTTCGTTCTGGCGAACGGAAATACCTTTCATCGTCCCTTCCTTCTACCACAGGCCCGGCGCCCAAAAGCGCGGATATTTCGGAAATAAAGCCATCAGCCACCATCCGAATATGCGATAATTTCGAATCCACTGAAATTAATTTCTCCACCGGTAATTCCTGGAGACACCGCACCATCGCAGTTACATCATCAGTAGGACATCCGTGGGAAAACGCGATGAACTTTGTCGTTTGCATGGGATCTCTATCGAATACGAAATTCGATAGGATAGTTCCTGACATCGCGATCAGTCCACTGAAGTGATCTAGAAGGGAAAAATCAAACGAATAAAACAGTTCTTTCGTGGTCGCAGTTTTTTTCCCAATTGAAAGATTTCCGAAAAATTTTCTCCGTCAATTTTTGAAATTAATTTTCCGCACTAATTCTCTCCATGAGGAATTTTGCTTGGAGTTTTTTTTTAATGCTCATTAAATTTCTTCATTTTTTATTACAAGGGAAAAAATGAAAAAATTAATGACAAAAATCGTCTTCTTTTTTATTCGCGATTGTTCAATCAATTCGTTAAATTCAACGCGATTTCACTCTTAATAAAATTAGTTGAGGGAACCAATTATTTTCAATTGATTCCGGGAATTGGGGGGGAAATGTCAGGGAAAAAGTTCCTGTCAGGATGAATTATTGAGGAAGAAATGTCGGGAATAAAAAAAGGGGAACCCCTCAACGACTCACTCTTAGTCAACGTCGACAGAGAAAGCATCAGGGCGGAGCTGGCCCCAGTGCCTTGACCAAAGGCAACAATTCTGTCCGGATTTCCCCCGAAATATCCGATGTATTTCTTCACCCAGTTGACGGCCAGAGTCATGTCAAACATTCCGTTATTCCCGGGTAGATCTCGAGTCCCGGTACTCAAAAACCCTAGGGACCCGAGTCTGTACTGAATGGAAATAACGACCATGTGTTTTTTTATTAAATTCCTCATCTCATATTGGCAGGCTGCGCCAATCCGAAACCCTCCCCCGTGGATCCATATTAGGACCGGGTAGCCGTCCCCAGAATCCGGAAGTGCCGGTGTGAAAACGTTCAGGAATAGGCAATCCTCGGAGCCAATGACATTTCCTTTGTGAAGTTGGGGGCACGGTGGACCCCAAATTGTCGCGTTGTATTCACCGTCCAAATGCACAGCTCTAGCTCTCTAGATAAATTAATTCGAGACAATTTGTTCGACAACTATTCACGAATTAAATCTTACAATAAAATAAAATAAATTTTTTATTCAGGCATGTATGACCTCTCGGCCTTTTACATACAATAAAATAAAATATATAAATAATAATCTATAAAAAAAATATAAAAAATATATATATATTTTGATGACAATTTCAACTAAAAATATACATTATTATCAGCCACGCTAATTGGACAGCTAACAGGATGTAAAATGATAATAAAACCTGTTCAAGCCATTTCGAAACAGATAAAGGAGTCCATAAAATAAAACTGCAATTATCCCTCAATTAATAATCTCAAAGGAAGTAATATTTCTCTCAGTTTATTATTGGACAGTATTTACCTGAAATCTACTGCGACCAACAGGCGGTTCGCCAAATCTAATCCCTCTGAAGACGTAAAATCCTGCGCCGGGATCACGAGATCCGTAAACTCTTGCGTTACGATCGTCGCGATTCACGAAAACCACTGGATCATCCTCGGGGGGTTTAGCGGCATAAATTCCCCCCACGATTCGTTTGACTCTACCCGAACAATCAGATCGACTGATCAAGACGAATAAAATTGAGAGAGCGAGGAAGCGTCTTTCCATGGCGAGTTCCATGATTCGAATACGAAATTCCACTCGCTGGTGCCTCTGCGCGCCGAACATTTCGATAAGAATGGAGATTGCGGGGCTAAATATTACGGAAGCATTATATTTCAGAAAAAAATATTACACGGTAATATTACGGGACAAAATATTGCAGATAAAATTACACAAAGAGATGTTATTAATGATAAAACATGATTAATATTAATTCAAAATAAAAAACATAAAATCCCTCAAAACATTTACCTAAAATACCGAAGATTCTTCAACAGAAGTGAGTTATAATCGAATTCGCGACAAGAGTGCCTCGCAATAATTACTATGGCTCCATAATTTGCCAATTCCAATAATATTTATTGAAAAATTCAAAAGTTGTGAATAGTGTTGAAAAAAAAACAAATCAAGAGGCAATTACACAATTTACCGTAACATTTTGGCGTAATTTTTAGACGGAATACCAAGAATGAAAGAATAGTAGGGATACATCAGTGTGAATGCCTCCCTCAACCAATTTTTGTCCCCCGACTACAGCGTGAAGTAAATTCAAATTTTATTCTCAATTGTTCATCAACTTAATTTACAGCATAGTGATAATAATAAATATATTTACACTGTATGGATTTTTATTCTCACAGCAATGGTCTTATGCTATTTAGAATTGTTACAAATTTAACTAGACTGGCAGAGCTTTTGAAAGTAATTAATTTGTTTTCTATAGCACTGCCCGAACATTTCCTTGATTTTGGATTTTTTAGTTAAAAAAATGAGGATGATCATCTCATGTGGCGTCGTCGCACTTTCGTCCTTTGGGTTTATATTGGCTAATTGATGAGTTTATGTCTTTTTCGCAGTTTGAATAGGCCATACCGAGGCCAAAGCCTGCCCCTGTTATAATGGGCCATCTCTCTGCAATGAAAATTTAGGGAAATTGTACAAAATTTATCAAAGGGAAAATAATCCCATTTTATTCACAATTCAATTAAACAATTCCAATTTGCGAGACCTTTTAGCCACTAAATTTCATGACTCTTCAGAGGACTATTTTTGTATTCTTCAAGGATAAAGTACGATCTTAACAAATCACATGTTGAGGTTATGTGAAAAAAAATGGTTTCATCTCAAATTCAGGACTGAATTCATGAATAAAATAGTTTTAATGAGGTTCAAGGGTCATAGTTTAGCTCAAGTGGGATAAAAATAGTTACTCACTCCTAAAAAACAGCAGGGAGACAACAGAGCCGATGACAATACCGCCGCCTAGTCAACGTCAAAACATGAATGAATATATCGAATAACAACTTTCACGAACATTTCGACTAATCAAGGATTATGAGAGGTGTTGCTCACCGAATTTAATGACAGCATCCGCGAAACAACGGTCCCATTTCCGTCCAATTTCATCCTCAGCCAAGGTGCCAGCCATTTTTTGCCTCAAAAAGCGGACAGATACGCGTTACGTCACACGTGTGCGCTCACCGAGACTCGGGGAGATCGATGAGTTCAAGGGTGAAAGTTGAGGTTAATTGGCAAAATAATTTCGGTTACAGTGCTCGATCCGGAGGGTAATTTGAGTATCCAAGAGTGTTTATTAAAATTTATTGAGTGTCTTCTCTGAATTAACGTCTGCAGAGTCTTGTTTCATGTCGAAACGAAAGAATTTCATTTTTCGGCGGGCACTTGCCGCCATATTTAATCAGTACCCAGTGGCGCCACTACCGCGGAATTGATAGAATAAAAACAAAAAATAACTGTAACTGGAGAAATTCATAATTCAATTTTTGATGAATTTTTCACAAAAATTTCATGAAATCTTCGATTCTCCATTTTTAGAGACTGAAGAATTTCCATTTTTCATTGAATTTTTCACGCGTCATTTTTCTGTATTTTTAATTCAATTATTCCCGCCATGTTTACTGTCAACGGAAGCCCTAACCTCCAAAGGACAAATGGCACAAATGCAGGGGAAGGAATTCTTCCTGTTGTCATTGATGACTCTATTATTTTTTCGTAATTTCGGAGTTCAAGCGCAAAAAGCGATGAGTTCATTGTCTGGCGTTTATTCGGTGGCTTACGTGACAGTTCCCAGCAACGAAATCGCGAAGAAATTGGCGCAGTACGTACAAGTGCTAATTAACCGGTTAACAATAGATAATGAGACATGTTATGTTTCAGCGGTATTGTTAAGAGTAAACTCGCTGCATGTGTCAACATCATTCCTCAAGTGACTTCGGTGTATGAGTGGAAGGATGAGATAAATGAAGAGAGTGAGCTGCTCCTGGTAAGTAGTGCATAAACTCAAGAATTAAGAAAAAATGCTGAAGTGATTGTGTCATTTCTTCAGATGATCAAAACGAGAACTGAAGCCGTGGGAAATTTAACGAAATATGTTAAGTACGTAATGATAAGTTGAAATTCTTGCGTTTGTGTTGGATTTTCATAATTAGTGAATGTTTCTCACAGGGAAAATCATCCTTACGAAGTCTGTGAAGTCATATCTTTTCCGGTAAGTGAAATTAAAAGTAAATTACGCCGATTTTCATTTGTTATTCGCACACTTACGCGAAAATTCATTCAGATTGAGAACGGAAATGAAGAATATCTTAACTGGATCGGAGGAATAGTCCCTCAGGGCGTGAAAAAGCCCTCGTAAGCAGCAAAGAATTGCATAAATCGTCATTAAAATGAATATTTATCTTGTATTGAATTAAGCAATAAATTCATTTTGAAGTCTAGTGGTTTTCATAATTACCACCGTTCACCCTCAATTCTCGTGACAAATAAAAATACCCAGAGCCGCTCGGACATGCGCCTGGCGCCCAGTAAATCCACGGGGCCGCCCTAGTGGCAGATCAGTGAGTGGAAAATGTCCAATGATCAACTGCTATTCCAATGTAATTGATTTCTCATTATCATCGCCAATAAAAACCCTAAAATGTGTCAAACTCTCGTGATCACGAGTGTCACATGAACATCAATTCCATGCATTCGTCAGTAATTAATAGTGATAGTTAGTGGAGCTGGGTAATTTACGTGATTGGTAAAAAATCTTAATCAGTACAGTGTCAGTCCCATTCTATTTTGGTACGCTGCTGGTGACTGAAGGATCACAATACTTAACCCAAACGTGAGAATGATGGACCTTTTTCAAGATCATATTCATTGACTCGGAGTTGTAACGCTGATTGTTGAGACTTAATGGGACTATTGGGGGTTCAGTAATCACGAATAATGTCATGGAGTGCTCACTGTCAACGGAGATGCCTGACTGCCTCGACACTATTGACAGTCGATGCATCAGTAAATTATTACGAACCGATTGCACGAGTCCTGCGTCTGTAAACACCAGCTCGCACTCCAATTCATCACAGGAATCATCACCAAAACATCACCATGAGGGGAGGAATTTTTTATCTAGCTGTCAAATGGAAGTGTCGAAGCTGATGTTGTTGATGAATTTTTTAAAGAATTTATTACTAGTATCTAAGCGATCCAATGATTTTTGGAGAGAGAGTGTGGCACCGATCATGAGGTTATCACTGGCAGTCACAGTGATACTCGTGATTGTGCAGCTATTACCGGTGACCAGTGCCACTCAGCCACTCGGCAATCCGTACCAGATCCTCGGGGTCCACAGGCGTTCGACACTCCAGGACATCAAGAAGGCGTACAAGAACCTCGTGAAGGAGTGGCATCCTGACAAAACCGATCATCCCGATGCTGAGGACAAGTTCGTGGAGATTACTAAGGCTTATGAACTCTTGTCGGACCCTGAGAGACGCAGGAATTTCGATAATCATGGGATTACTGAGGAGGGATCCTCCAGATTCAGACGAGAGAACAGCCACTTTCAGATGCCCGATCCACTCGAGGATCTCCTTGGGGCGAATTTCAAGTTTCATTACCAAAGTCGAGATATATCGTTTTATCACAAGATGAGTGTGACGTACAGGTAATTACTGAAATTATACAATTGCGAGTTTTTAATTTCTTGAGGATATTCAAGTATATTTTACAGTTTGGTAGAGATTATACTATAGATTTTACCATTTTTAATCATCAAATTTGGCAAATAATTTGTGACATTTTGCACAGAATTATCATTTTTTTAGCCACCAAATCGATTTTTGATAAAACTCTGGATATGAATAAATTTTTTACGATTCTGAACAAATGATTTTTATGATAAAAAATTTACTGTTTATAAATTATTTACAAAAAATGCTCGTAATTTAAAAATTGCAAATATTAAATTTCATCAATTTTCGATCAAATCATTGTAGCATTCGACTGCAGAAAAAAATAGCCAAAGTACTTGGAAATCCTTGAAAAAAAAATCATTTAATTGTTTCATCGAAATTTCAAGAAATTTTGTTATTAAAAATTCCAAATTTTGGGAAAAAATGAACAGAAATCACGAATTTTAATCAGTTTCACCACTGTAATTTGTTTCCTTTCCCCAATTATCAATTACCTTCAATTTCAGAATGTACGAGCATATAATCCTCCCAAAGAGCTTCCGCACGCCGTACCTAATGCTCTTCTACTCGGAATGGTGTTTCACCTGCATCCAGATCGAGCCGACCTGGCGTCGCCTGATGGACGAGCTGGAGCCGCTGGGTGTGACGTTCGTCACAGTGCACGGCGAGCGAGAGCCAGCCTTCAAGCGACGAGTGGGCGTCCACTCGATCCCCTGCCTAGCGGTGACGATGGACGGTCGCACAAGCATCTACAAGGAGTCCCTGTTCAACGTCCCCAAGATAGTTGAGTTCCTCCGCAACAAATTCCCCTACAAGCTCATCCCCAAGATAACGAACAACAACGTCGACCACTTTTTATCGGGCTGGAAGGACAACAGAATTCGCGCCCTCATATTCGAGAAGAAAGACTCCCAGAGGCTGCGCTACCTGCTGGTGGCATTCCACCACAGGGACAGAGTGGCATTTGGTTTCGTGCAGGTTGGCAAGCCGGAGACTGAGGCCATCACCACGAGATATAAAATCTCAGGGGATTTAAACACCTTGCTGCTGTTCAACGAGAACTCTGAGAAGCCCATGGCATCAGTCAGCATGAAGGACATCTCCAGTGAAACAATGCACAACGTCATTGCGAATAACAAATTCCTGGTGCTGCCTAGGCTATCGAATCAGGCCATGTTGGACTCTGTGTGCCCCCCAGAGTGGCTTCGACCCCAGAAACGACTGTGTGCAGTCCTCATCTCCCAGAACAGCGCCATCCACGACCTAGCTAGGCACAGGTTCAGGCAGGCAGCTCTGGAGTCCCCGTACAGTCCAGAGAGAGTGAGATACACTTACGTCTACAAGGAGTCCCAGCCCCAGTTTGTGTCTGCCCTGTGCGCCGGTGAGGGCAGCCCTCTGGAGCCCCTCCTGCACATTGTCATCATCTGGAGGAGGGATGCCAATCACCTGAAGTACGAGTGGCTGTCGAGTGGATGGCTAGACGCAGCTGAGGACGAGAACAAGTGGAACGAGACGAGGAGAAAACTGGAGCAGACCATCCAGCGACTGCTGAGGATCACTGAGGCCCTTCCCTACGCCGCTAAGGTGGAGGAGCTTGCTGATGAACATGCTCAGGGAACTGTCGACAGACTCATTGGAAGGGCTCTCCTCGCTGTGGACTACATCTCTGATAATCTGACGAAGGAGCAAATTCTCCCCCTCATTTCGGTGATCGCTTCGTTGTTGTTTATTGGAGCTGCTGGGTATGGGGTGTCTTACTTGGTGAAGCTGGAGGAGTTGAGTGTGCAGAGCAAACAGAGTCAGTTCAATAAGGAGAATTCCAAGGGGAATTCCACTCAGCCACAGTTGAGGCTGCATGACATGAGGGCTGAGAAGTATAATGGGCTTGTGAGACTGCTGAAGCCTGGCTGCAGGACAATTATTCTGATTGTCGACGCCCAGAGCAGACTGAAGCTGCTTCCTGCGTTCCATCGGGCTGTCTGGCCTTACAGGTAATTTTTACTTTCAATCGAAGTTCGTCAGGATTATTTGATGAATGAGGGGGAAATTCAGTTGTAAGAAAAACACTGAAAATCCCTTAAGCAATATAAATACCTGATGAATAAATAATATTTAAAAAATGATTCCAATAATGGCTTTTCATTGCTAGGAAAAATAAGACACTAATGTTCGGACACTTGTCCCTGGAACGTGGACTCGAGTGGTACAAGAAAATCCTCTCCCTGAGTCTCCCAGAGCCAAAAGAATTGAATATCAATCCAAAAAATTGTGTTGGCACTGTATTGGCATTGAATGGGCATAGGAAGTATTTTTGTATGTACCATGCAAAGCATCCGGAATGTAGTAAAGGAAAAGGAGCGAAGGTAAACTAAAAATAGAGAGCCTCAATTTTTTTTCATTTCCAAAGATTTAAAAAAGTCATTCGTCTATTCTCGAATTGTTTAGCGAATGGAACGAATGACGAAACATTTGAGTCGACGGAATGAGGATGCGGAGGCTGGAGCATTCATAGGATTCGACAGCTCTAGTGACTCTGAAATGTCACAAGATGAGGTAAATACATTTTCGTTGGCTATTGGAAGAAAGGAAATTTGGCGTTTTCAATGGCTAATGTTTGGTTTTTATTCCCCAGTTGGATAACAGTGTTTTGTACCAAGACAGACTTTTAGATGGTCTGCCCAACTGGCTAGATAGATTATTCGAAGGTTCAACGCAACGCTATTACATTAATTATTGGCCAGATTTCACTGCCAAATAAGACGAGGTTTGTTGTACGTTCATTCACAACGTATAAATGCCTTTTAACTGTAATGAAACTACATACAGGTGTCTTGAATCTAGTCATTGAAGTGAAGTAAAACGGATATTTGTTGATACCAATAAAATTAAGTTTAAAGCCCACCGTAAACACATGATTAGGGGAGGCTGGGGCAAAATGGACACTTGGCATTTTTTCCAATTTAAAACTCAGTTATTATGACTCAGAAAGAAAAATTATCCCATTTAAAATCGTCGTTAACATCTGAAAAAGCCAAGGGCTCATTTTATCCGACTTATCCCTGCATATTTCACCACTAAGGAGTAACGTTAAAGTTCATAAAGATGTTATAATTTCCCATAAATCTGTATAGGTAAATTAATAATTTATATTCTATCGTAAATAATCATCAGGACCTGCCGAAGAGGTGTAAAGGACCTCGACTGATACTAACCTATACAGCAGTTAATTTAATTCTGAAAATTACTAAACATTCGTCATCTTTCACTTTGTTTCTTTCATTCTTTTCGTGATCAACACAGTCTAGTCAATAAATGTGTTCATTTAATGTAGGGTAATCCTTCTCTTCGGCAGAACCACGATTATTTGCATGTTAATTTACAATTGCGTGAATTTTACCGCAGAGTTGTGAATTCTGAATGATATATGTCATTGGTTCCATCATTGTACTTGTCTGTGTACGAAGATACCACTGATTAATACGTTTGAACATGAATATGTCTGGAGAAATGAACTTGAAAATCGATTCGTGAAATTTTCAAAGTATAATTAATTCTCAAAAGGCAAGGGGATTACTTCATTTCATACTATTAAAGCAGGCAAAAATCGGTGATTATAAAAAATCTCGTTATCGATTGGAAATTGGGATCAAGGCACTCCAACCAAACGAATCAATCGCATTTAACTACTGTCAGCCGACTCAATTGACCAGGGAGAACATAATATTTCTGAAATTTTTAATCTACACCTACGATTTAAACAAAAATCGCATTCTCAACTCTAATTCTCCAATAACTTCAGTTCCCAACATTAATTAAGAACGAAGTATAGATAGGAAATTTCGATTTGATATAGTTATTCCGTAATTTCATGAATTATAAACTAATGTTTACGTTACACGATTTATCTGTTGCTTGAAGGGAAGAAAAAAAAACAAGGGTAATTTAATAGAAATCAAATATTTCTCGACAATCTTCTACCCATTAATAAATTGCAATGAAAATTACTAAAAGCTGAATAGATTAAATCGAGAATGCGTTAATGCCTCATTCCTTCTTCTTCTGCCTCGTTATCAATCTTCAGTAGTTACAGTACCAGTTATTTTAGAGGAACAAATTGTCAGCAGGGATTTCTTAGATAAATTGAATACGTTTAAAGAGTTAAAGAAAATCATAAGACGATTAAATCTAAGAAATTGTGCGTTGAGATTGTGCTATGCATGATCAACACTCGCAGGACCTTTATACAAATTTAATATCGCACCACGATCCTGTCTTCACTTTGGTGAAATCTCTAGCAAAAAAAAATAATAATAAAACGATAAAAAGTATGAGTGATAAAATAGAATTATTACCCATTTGGAGAAAAGATGCGGCACGTAATTAAAATAAATGATAACTATTGAAAGAACACTTACCTAAACGTCCCTAAAGTTTTTTATGTATATACTATCGAGGAGTTGTAATATCTAGACGATTACCATCTCAATGACTTTATACAGTGAAATTATTAAATAAAAATTATACCGAAATTCCAGTTACCTAGAAAGAATAAATTATAACGAATTATACACGAGATTTTTATTGATAAAGTAATTAAAGACGAGAGAATACCCAGAAAATGCACAGTATACGCTTTTGTTAAGAAAATTGCGCACAAATTTACACGATTATTTGGGTAAAACGACGAAATAACGAACTCGAGGACTCGTTTCATCATAGTTTATTATTCAAATTTATTCTTACATATTTACTGCAGCGGCGAGGGGGGTGGGGGCGGGATTACTTGCGAGATTATTACCATTTCCGAAATATGAGAAAAAAAGGTATCTCTATGTATACGGGCATCAGAACTTGGTCGATTATATTTCGACGTAAAATGTAAATACAATTGAGATGAAATAAAAAAAGGGATATTGTAAGAAATGCTGGATTCCCCCTTTCATCGGGTGGAGAATTATTAAAGTTTCGAGAGAAATTGCATGATTTTAGTCGCAAAAAAATGTCAGATTCATGATTATAATGGTTAATTAAAAGGGCATTGCAGTTGAATATTTGTTGCTTATGAATTTCGTATTCCAAGTGCTTGCTCCAATTCCGCCCTTTTCTGTTGTACTTTCGTGTAGAAGTATCGACAAACAGCTTCTTGTGCCCAGGGTTGATAGTAGAATTCAGCTCTCCTCTCTTCCTCTGGGTTTCCAACGACATCAGTCATTGTCTTCAAGTCTCGTGTTTGGGAGATTATCCATTTGTTGATGAACTGCTGGGGATCCTTGGCGAAGCTCAGGAAAAATTCGCGATTTGTCTTGAGCTGATTTATGGTCTCGACTGTCTCGTGAATTTTATTGTCGAGGCTTTGGATCTCTTGTTGGCTCGCTGTGGACAGGAGGAAGTTGTTCATCTGGGTTTTTAGGGTGTCGTCCACCTCGACGTCGATGTCGTAACAGGCTGTCTGTTTAGTTTCTGTGCCTGTGGACATGAGATCTTCATTAAAACAACATTCTTCACATTTAATTGGGGCTTTAATTCACCTTCAACACTGATGACATGATTGATGACGATTGGGTCTGGGGGATGCAGAAGAGGATTCAATCTCTGGGGAATCTCAGCGAATTTCATTCGTGGACAGGCGAAGATTTGCTCCAAGTACTTGTCGCAATTGATGAACTCTCTTTCGTGACTGTCCTGGAGCTTGTGAGTCTTTATGTACTGCCACAGGGCAGATATGATGACTGGTCGAGTCTGGGTATGAACACCTAACAGACGAGCAAGTCTTGGATCCAGCTTAAACTAAATTCCAATCATAAGAAAAATCATATTATTAAATTTAACGAATGCATTGGCCATTATTTAGAGATTATTCTCACCTGAAGTGGCTGGTAATCGAGGAGAAGGAGAATAGTGCAACGAACATTCTTGTCCCCAGGGCGTTTGACTTGGAAGCCATCAGTCTCTTGGGTCGTCAAAGTGCGATGCCATTCTACCAAATGGTTGTCTGGACCGTACAGATCCTTGTCCAGTTCGATCACCAAACTTTTGAAGAATGACGAAAACTTTCGCTTCACCTTTGGTGAGAAAACAATCTTCAATTTGACAAATCATTAATTCTAGGGAATTGATAGGGTAAGGTGAGGCAAAATGGGCACTTCGGATCTTTTTTTCAAAAATTCATGTTCAGTCTGGGAAAAAAAATACTCAATTTCATAAAAAATTGAAGGACGTTTTGACATTTGAAAAAAAGTCCTATGTCCTTTTGCCCACTCCAGCCCTTGTTGTTTCGATTTTTAACCTTGTTAGGGTCATTTTTCGTATCATCCAACAATCGTCCCTCAACTCGAAGTTCCCAAGATGCCACTGAGCCCTCTTCTCCCTCGCCCGCCTCCTTGGCGGGGTAAAACGTATTGGAGATGAATATCCTTAATTTTCTCTTTTGTTTCATGGGACGTTTCAACGCTTCTTGAATGTCGAGACGTTTACGCATTATCGTAGCATCCAATTTACGTTCAAATGCCAGTAGATCCATGTAAGCCTGCGACTCTGGTACCAGGTCACGTACTTTTTGCGGCAATATTTTGTCCGCCAATTTCTTCTTCTTCTTGGATGTGGAATGTGATAAATCACTGTTCCAAAAATACCTAGATGAGTTTTTGGTGGAAAATAATATTTTGAAAAATCAAAAGAAATTTTGAAACTTGTTCGAGTGTTTTGTGTGTGGATGTTGGTGAATGATCGATGGCCAGGGTGCATGAATTACTGTTGGAGTTCCGAAATTAAATGACTGAAAATTAAAGCAATGAGAACCGAACGAAATCAAGAAAATCAATTGAACGTAAAATCGAAATTAAGGATTAACAAATGATAAATGATATTTTTTGGCGGGGGGTGCACTTACGGTTTCTGTTGGGACATGGGAATTCGTTGATCACCACTCCTTTTGCCGGGGGGCGCAGGCATGGGACCTTGACGCATGTTGGAGTACTGCTGGTTGGGCCTCATTATGCCTCCTGGTCCTGGCCCACCGGTGCCCATCTGGGGTGGTGGAGTGAAGCTTGATCTAGGCTGCATCTACATTTGGCAATTAATTAGTTTTCAACTTCCCGACCCGACGGAAGTTATTGTAACGACCTCGAAAATTGAATGTGGAAATTCATGATTTCTCCATGATTCATGACCCCTGGAAACTGTCTGTATTTTTGGAATTTCAACTTTTCAAAATTTTTTCAATATAGTTCAATTTTTCCTTTCTATTCTTTTTTCATTTTATTATTGGAATTACCTGATGACCTTTTCGTAAATTTCTTCTCGTTTGTAGGATTTTTTCTCAATCAATTATGAATTATGCGATAGAAATTCGAAAAGAAATTCGGAATTGTTATTTTTTGATTCGAAAGTAATTTGTAGTTTTATTTGAATATTTCCAACGTCCGCTATTTGTATCATTTATTTCCAAATAAATAATACATTGTGTAAATTTTTGATGGGAGAATTTTCATGATTTTTAAAAATTTATTCATTATTTTAATGGTTTTGTACGATATTTACCGGAAAATTTGGCCCTGGATACTGTCGAAGATTCGGTGGTACAGAGGGTGGTGGGTATCTCTGTGGAGGTGGCCCATTGTTCCCGGCATTTGGTCCAGGGAATCTTTGCGCCATTTTTAATCAAGTGGCTGGTGACAAATCATTCATGGGAAAATTACAAAAAAATATCAATGGTTTCCACACTTTTTATGTTAAATACACAAATTTACTTTTTGAAAATTGATTTTTTGAGGTTTTTTTTAAAGCTAGTGGGAAAAAATATTATGAAAAATGAAAGAAACACGAGTATACAATTTTCCCGATTTTTAATGGTTCATAAAAATTTAATTAAAATGATAAAAAATACACTCCCGAAAATGACAGAATAGAACCCTGCGCCCGTGAGAATTCCCCAGCTCCAAGCTCCCCCCGATAACCTCCAAAAGCCTCAAATATTCTCTCACAATCAGCACTGCCTTCAGCACTACATGCACTCTACTAAATTCATTAGAATAATTTCCCAATTAAATACGATTATTTTGCATTATTATTTCTTAAAATACGAGAAACGCCGAAAAACTCTTTGACGACTCGGCTGGGGCATCTTCCCCTGCTCCAGGATACCGCCCAACCCGGTGCCAATAAAAAGAGTTTACAGTCACAATTGAACACCCGGTAAATAATGATTAATTGATTTACCGCTGGGAAATTTCAGCGAACTACGTTTTTTCCACGAAAATTGTGTGTAAAAAATTACTCGGCTGGGCAACGCTCATCGAGCCGTTCGCAGTCCACGCGAAAGCTAAAATTCACTAGACGCGAGGTTCTGGGGGTAAAGAAAAAACTCTATTTCTCGCCACAATAGGGGGGTGGGGCGTTCGTACTTCCGCAACTGGCGGAACCACAAGTAACGACCCAACCTTCCGTGGATAAAGTAGAACTTTTGTCACTTATCCGCTAGGTGTCGTGGGCATCGATCGCTCTCCACGTGTGTAGCGTCTCCCTCAATCAGAGGTTATGTCCACGCGATTCCCGATATTATCCCTCTAATAATTGTGAATAAATAACCGAAAAAATGGGTAAAAAGACGAAGATTGGAAAGCAGAGGAAGGATAAGTTTTATCAGCTGGCTAAGGAAACAGGTGAGCGCATAATTAATCATAACAACTGCTTCCAAAAAATAGAAATGATGCAGAGGGAATGTGAAATGGACCATCTGATATCATAAACATCCCCCGACCCAACGATACGATTCGATTAAATCCAATTTAATTTTGAAGCCTGAAAAATAACCTTTAAAATGAGATAAAAGTTTGGAAAATTCATTCTGCCCATTCCGAGTAATTGACGATTACAAACTATTTTATTCCCTTGAACCAAAAAAACTTTTTATTTTTTTTATTTCATTGTTTAAAATGCGAAAATCCACAGGATTTATTTACCGTGTAAATAAAAATGATTCACTATCCTATTAGTCAATAAAATGCATCCAATTTCTAAAAAAAATAAGCAGATATCAACAATAAATTCAATTATTTCAATTTCAGGATACAGATCTCGTGCAGCCTTCAAACTGATCCAACTGAACCGTAAATTCGAGTTTCTCCAGAAGTCTCGAGTATGCATAGACCTCTGTGCTGCTCCTGGAGGATGGATGCAGGTTGCCAGGCAGAACATGCCAGTGTCCTCCATCGTCATCGGTGTGGATATATTCCCAATAAAACAGATCCCCGGCTGCATCAGTCTGACAGAGGACATAACAACAGACAAATGCAGAGTAGCAATATCGAGAGAGCTAAAAACTTGGAAGGCTGACATTGTCCTCAACGATGGAGCCGGAAATGTTGGCAAAAATTGGCTGCACGACGCCTATCATCAGGCAGTTCTCACCCTGGCAGCTGCCAAAGTAGCCTCCCAGTTCCTGAGAGCCGGCGGCTGGTTCATAACTAAAGTATTCAGGTCCAAGGACTATCACCCCCTAATTTGGGTGCTGAAACAACTCTTCAAGAAGGTCCATGCGACGAAACCCCAGGCGTCTCGTAACGAATCAGCTGAGATATTCGTCGTGTGCCAGTACTACATCGCCCCAGACAAGCTGGACCCCAAGTTCTTTGACCCCAAGTACGTTTTCTCAGAGCTGGACATCGATCCTAAGGCCAAACTCAATGTGTTCCACCCTGAGACCAAGAAGAAGGCGAAGGCTGAGGGCTATCCTGAAAATGATTACACTCTTCACCACACAGTTTCAGCTTCTGACTTCATCGCGAGTGAAGATGGCATCGAGGGCCTGCAGAATGCCTCCGAAATTGTCATCGACGAAGACAGAATTGCAAATCACCCGAAAACAACTTCTGAGCTTCGAGAGTGCTGTAAGGACATTAAAGTCCTGGGGAGAAAGGAATTGAGATTGATCCTGGGCTGGTGGAAGGTTCTGCACGCAGAACTTCACTCGAAGCCTGAGACCGAGGACAATGAAAATGTTCAGGTGGAGGATGAAGAGAAGCCTGAGATCGATGAGGACGAGAAAGAGGAGCAGGAGATCGACGAGGAGATTCAGAAGTTGAAGGGAGAAGCTGCTCGTGAGCTGAAACGAAAGAAGAAGAAGGCGAATAAGGAGAGAACGAAGTTGAATGAACGGCTGAACCTGAAGATGGTGCACAAGGGGGACGAGGGGCCGAAGCTTGAGGGGGACGACATGTTCACGTTGAAGGAGATTCAGACGATGGAGCAGCTGGACATCGTGACAAATTCAGCCCCAGAAGTGGTGGCCGACAGCGATGGAGACTCTGAGGAAGAGGTGAAGTTGCCAAAGAGACTGAAGTACAGCAAGGAAAATGGCCACTTGGACAGTTCAGGAACTTATTACAAGAGTGATGAGAGTGAAGTGGAGAACTCTGAGAAGGATTCAGACAGCGAGAGGGAGGGGATGGGACTCAGTGACTCTGAGGACGAGGGGAAGAGCAAGAAGCTAGGGAAGAGAGTGAAATTCGAGAGTGAATCGTCGAATCCACTGATCACCGACCTGGACGCGAGGGATAAAAAGGCGAAGAAGATTCATAAAGCTGAACTGTGGTTTGAGAAGGACATTTTTAAGGACCTGGAGAAGGAAGCTGATGAGGATTACGAGTTGGATAAGATGGTGGAGGAGTTCCAGAGGAAGGGGGTGAAGGTAATTGGGGAGGAGACGACGAAAGAATCTAAAAAGACGGTTTTAAAGCCTGACAAGTCGAAGAAATTGAAGAGAGGAGATGACTCTGACTCTGATTACGACGTCGAGGAGTTCATGTCCCCAGAAAAATCCGAGAAAGGGGGGAAGAAAGTGGGGGGAAAGGATGGCTTTGAAGTTGTGTCCAAAGAGGCCACGATGAAGCCGTCGAAGAGAAAATTGAACGACGAAGATCTAGCCCTGGGGTCACTGCTTGTTCAGAGCAAAAAATCGAGGAGAGATTTGGTGGACGGTGCGTGGAACAGGTACGCCTTCAACGACGATCATTTGCCAGACTGGTTTGTCCAGGACGAGGAGAGGCACATGAAGAAGGAGGCGCCAGTGCCGAAGGAGCTAGTTGATGAATACAAGAAGAGGGTGGAGGATTTGAATGTGCGACCGATAAAGAAAGTTCTCGAGGCTAAGGGGAGAAAGAAGAGACGAGCACTGAAGAAACTTGAGAAGGCTAAGAAGAAAGTCGAGGCATTGATGGATAATAACGATATCAGTGAGCAGGAAAAAGCGAAACAAGTTAAAGCGTAAGTTTTCCTGTTAATTAATTCCTATTGCCTTCGATGAACACTTGAGGAGAAATGTTATCTCGAGTTTAATTCAAACAAGAAGTTTGAGGGAATTTCCTCTCGTTAAAATGGACTTGCTTTTTTTGTTTCAGATTATACAGAAATGCTAAAAAAGAACCGAGGAAGGAAGTGACGTACGTTGTGGCGAAGAAAAATGGCGCAACGAAGAGAGTGGCCAGGCCAGCTGGTGTCAAGGGACGCTTCAAAGTTGTTGATCTTCGAATGAAAAAGGATTTGCGTGCTGCAAAGGCCAAAGAGAAGACCAAGAGTCGTGGTAAAAAGGCTGGAGGTAAAGCACCGCGTGGTAAGCCCAGGGCAAAGACGACGAAAGGTAGAAAATAATTATTATCTTAATTGAAAAACGTAATTTACGTTGCAACAATTCAATAATTAAGACTATTACAATAGCGAAATAATGTACATATGCATTTGAAATACAGTCATTTTATCCTATAAATCACGCTGAATACGCCTGGGATAAATTGCCAGGAAAGTTTCAGTGATTCATGTGAATTTCTTCATGATCACCTTGAACCTGTATAATTAGTGTTTTCCGCGTGATTTTCCCACGGGAATCCGATTTTGTAGGTGAAATACGTCTGCGAGCGATAAAAATTAGGGATTCGAATTTTTCCTAATCAAAAGATCAACGTATTTTTTTTTAATCGTTTTTTTAATATGATCACAAACATCTTGAAGTTCACTGGTCAATTTGAAAGAAATCGTCATTTTTAATGAATCGATTATATTTTCGAAAAAAGTTATAAGTATAAATTAGAATGAGTGGATTCCGGCAAAAGAATGGAAAATTAATCGAAACAGATGGGAGGAAGTACGTAAATGAAGTTTATACATAACATTTGGACAAGAAAAATTTTGTTCTTCAGACATTAATAAAAATATTGATAAACGAATAAATCAAAAAATGCATCTTCCGAATTCTCCATAATTACGGAGCGAAAATTTCAGATCATATTCAAAAAACTATTTCGAAATAAAATACTTTGGGGTTTTTTGTTTAGTGGATTTTTCGTAAGGGAAGGGCAACAAAAGGTAGAAAATAGTTATTAATTTATTAATTAATTTTCAACGAAATTTATCGCCCGAAAAATACACAAAAAAATAATTTTCTTGCAATAGGCCATCGCCCGAGGGCCTTCAGCCAAAATAATTATCATTTAAATTGAAAAACGTAATTTACGTTTCTACAATTCGACAAACAGGCAAATTACAATAGCGAAATAATACACATAAGCATTTGAAGTACAGTACTTTTATCCTATAAGTCATGCTGAGCATATATAGGTGGGATAAGTTGCCAGGAAAGTTTCAGTGATTCATGTGACTTTCTTCATGATCACCTTGAACCTGTATATCGGATTAAACATGAGGTCATCTCTATTTTCAATCATTTGGCACACGTTATCTGCGAGTAATTTCTTTATCCGGGTTTTGTTGCCAATTCCGCGGGATTATACTGGATTTTCGTGAAGGTGACCATTTCAATCATAATTTTCAACTGATAAATGTTACAATTGCAATTTACGGCGCACCCTCAGGGGAAAAACCTTGATGACTGATCAAGTTTAAGTTATAACAATCTCAACAATGTCGTAACACATTTTTTTTTTACTTTGTGACGTTAATGACCTTGCACTTTGACTGGTATAGCGCGAGTACCATGTACTCCAGTGGTCTTCAAGGTTTACCAAGTCAAAAGACGATACAACCGACATCGTGTCACATGTTTGTTGAGTGTACATATTGTGTTGCAATGGCAAACAAGACTATTTGTATGGCCAAAGATTTCTTCGGAAACTGTCGATCGATTGAAGCGACGTCCATTGTGGGAAAAAAAATGATATTTCCTAAAAAGAGTCAATCAATGAAAAATTTAACAATAAATTCGACCGAATTTTCTTGATATCTATTAATTTTCGTGGAATAATTCAATAGAAATTCACATTTTTTAATTTTTTCTCCATAAAATTTTGAATCGGAGAATTGTAATTACGACAATTTGATGAAATTTTATTCCTCAAACGGGGGAATAAAATAGAAAGTTCCAATAAATTCTCAAAACTCGATGAAATCAATACAGACTCAGCTGATGAGCTCTATTGACGGAAGATGAACGAATAAAAAAGTGTCTCCCTCGAATGAAAATCTCCGTCAGCTTTCGAAGCGTGCCCACTGCTAGAGCTAGGGGTATGAATAGTTTTATTACGTCGCACTGGGGCCGATACACCTATCGGCATGCGGCCTTGGTTAAACTTGACCTTGCTTTTATTTCAGGCAACCCCCTACGTGCATAAATGTCTACATGTGTACGAATATGAGTGTAATACATACGCGAAAAAAAAAATGTTAACCAATACCAGTTGTAAACTTGACAGTGGCCTCACCGAGCGAATACCTTGAACTCATCACGGGCAAGGCTTTATTGATAACCGCTATTTTTTTTCCTCGTTTTTTTTTTGTCTCCCCTCGCTTATTATTCTCGAACGATCTCATTCAAATGGAATTTGAATAAATTACGCATGACATTCTTCTCAATTTTTTACTCGTCTTTTTACGCTTTAAATATTTATGCTCATTGAATTATTCACTCGACTCAATTATCCCCCCCGATGATAATATCGTTGCACATTGTTCCTACAAATTTGACGGACAGGGTCATCAATTTAATTCCACTGAGCCTCGCGAAATGGAAAATCAATGGGGCTAGAAGAAAAACATAAAACACTTCATCCTGAAATAAAATGATGCGTGTCGAAACTGGAGATAAACTATCGCCACCCCCGCGTTTTCTTTTTTCATCCACATCGACGATAATAACCAGAACTTGACGAGTGAGATTCTTGATTTAGTCTCGGAGACGAGTTTTATCTGTAGGAATGCACCGCCCACCTGTCCGTCAGTGCACTCTCCGCATTGACGTATATATTCGCTGTCCCCTCTGGCCCGCGCTTCCGCCACCGTCAAAAGCGTACTCTGATGCAACTGCGTAGCGTCGGGACGCTGCGGTCGATGTCAAGGCCAAGGTTGTCTCTTTTATGATTGTTCAACCTGGGAAATTAGCGGTTCTTCCGGGGACTTTTTATCGCTTGTGATAAGGAATTAAAAATAAGTTATTCTTCATTGTTCAAAGTGCAGAAATCTGCAGGATTAATTCACGCTATCAGTATTATTTTTTTAACTCAATTCGAATATTTAAAATTCACTCATTAGTGCGTTATTTTAAGGAGAGGTTCACTTTGGAAAAAAACTCTTGCGGTTTTCGAGAAAAAAACTTCGAAAACACTATTGTCCACGTGAATTTTCACGCCAGCCGCTAAAAATTAGAGATCCGAATTTTTTCTAATCGAAAAATTCATTAGCAATCCATCAGATAAGATCAGATTTCGCGGGAAAAATTGCTCGGGCCATAGTATTTTTTGATCTTTTTCTCTAAGAGCGAAAAACATTTTTGGATCTGTTGTTTTTAATAAGAAATTGAAAGAAGGTGTGTCGAAACTTTTTTGTCAACACTTTAATTTCAATGGGAGAGGACAACATCGTAATTTGGAAGATTGATGAGGAATTAATAACCACGAAGACAATGATAGTTGGTTTCAGTGGGGATTGAAAGGATAAAATGACACAAGAGAAATGAGAGTATGATTACAGTGCACTCATGTACGAAATACATCGGCTATAATGACACAATTTTTATCGTATCAGCCTCTGGAGTAAGTGCCACTCTGTGAGACCTCCATTGACCCGAATACAAACGCAACTGCTGTGTACTCAAGCGTTGAGCGAGTACATCAGTACCAATGAAGCCATGCCTGCAATATTGACAAGGTCAGGATTGTCTGCAGGCCTTCTCAACCAAGCAATTATCATCGTAATGCCAAATACCATGATTCTCATTCCCGGTTATTAAATTAATTCAAGTCAAGAGCAATTGCCAATTGCCAGGAATATTTAGACGAAATTGTCGAATTGAGTAGCTGAATAAATGACAGATTGAGAATAGTTTTTACGTCAGATTTCGATTGCAGGGTCGAGGAGTTGATAATTTTCGCGTTAATGCCGGGGTTTTAGGCGGATCTGACAAAGTCTTTTGTACAGTTTTCCGACATTTTCCCTTCTCGCTGAACCGTACACTCACCCACGTCATTGTTGACCTTGATTTTTCAACGCAGATACCAAATCTCCACGACAATCTGCCGAGACTTGTTTATTCTTTCGTGACTAAGATATTGCTAAAAAAAGAGTTAATCTCGTCAATTCGAGAAACAGATACCAATTAAAATACATACTGCTGAAAAAAAATTGTGAAGAGACGTTTAATAAGATTTAGTGGGAGGCGGTTTATGGAAATGAGACGAAAATATCGCTTATTGCTATAATAAAAACAACGTCATTTGATAATATTTAAAGCTTTCATTCATATTTTTATTCAATTGCTTCCGAATGGAAGCATTGTAATCGTGCTGTTTTCACATTCTCTAATTTTGATTGGAAATGATGTAGAATGGTCTGTAACATAAAAATACGAATTTTGGCGACCATGTCTGTCGGTGTCAATGTTCATCGCCACCTTTCCGGTGGTCCATTTTTGGAAAATTGAGTAATTAATTGGCTAATCTTATTCCGAAAAATCAGAAATTTTGTCAGATTATAGACCTTAACAAGGACTAACTCTGCAAAAGTTCAGCCCGATTGATCAAATAGTTTTTGAGAAAAAGCCATTCGTTTTTCGCTAATATCTTCGAAGCTAGTCAGCCGATTTCAATTTTTTTTTTCAAAATATTCGTTTCGATGCCTTTTATCTGAATCAATCAAAACAGATATACCCGTTCATACAAAGTTTTCGAGATATTTCCGTTTTTCGGTTTATTCATAAAAATCATTGTAATCACTCTAGCTTGTACAAAAATTGAGATATCAACTTGAAATTTGGACAGAATCTTCCTCTCATAATAACAATCCTTCCTATTAAAAATGAGCTCAATCGCATGAGTAGTTTCCGAGATATTTGACTTTCTCTGAAAATCTTTTATGTGCAATATCTTAAAAACTACGCAACCGATTTCAATTTTTCTTTCAAAATATTTGCTTCGATGCCTTCTATCAGAATGCCTTCTATCCCATTCGGAAGCTTACTACCAATGGAATTGGTAGAAATGAGAGAAAGAAAAAGAGTTATAACACATAAAGTAACGGGTCAGATGGCTTCGACCAAAAAGGCTCGAACCCCTGTTTGTTTTAATTTTGCAAAGACGAGAAAAAATCTGTTGGCCTCTCAATAGAAATGTTCAGTGGCAAATACTCTATAGAATATTCCTATTCTAGTGATATATTCTCTACAGACATTCCTCGTCTCAAATTTTTTTATTCAATTTTATTACCGAAATTTCGCGGAATTCTTCAATAAAAGTTCATCAGAATTTTCAACCGAACTTGTCACAAAAAAAA